CCCCGCACGGCGATCCGCGCGCGGCCCCGGGCCCCCGCCGCCAGGGACACTCACCTCCGCGAGCCGCGGCGCGACTCCGGCGCCCGCGGCTGGGCGCGGCCCCTCGGGCGGCTGACTGACCCGCCGCTGCTCCGGGAGGCCGGCCGGCCGCGCAGCTCCGACGGCCTCCCGCGCCTCCGCCGCGGCGCGCCCGGCCCCGCGCAGCCTCACGCCGCCGCCGTGCTGCCCGCCGGTCCTGCCCCGCCGACCCAAGCGGCCTTACGCCGCCTCCGTAGCGTGGCGCCCGGCCGGGGCCCGCGGCCAAGGCGCGTCGGGGGCGCACGCGGCGCTGGGTGTCCGGCTCCGACTACGGATCCCACAGCGCAGCGCCGGCCCGCGCGAAGCACGCCGGGAGCTGTAGTCTCTGGCGGTGCCGGTTCTGGACCCGCTTACCCACCTCGACCCACCTCCGAAATCCCGCCTCCCGCGCTATTGGAGACGCCCAGGCACCGGCCTCGGCCGGGCGGGCGGGAAGAGGACGGTCCGGACTACAATTCCCAGAAGGCCCTGCGAAGGGGCCCGGGGGCGGGTCCTCCGGCCATGTTGGTCCGGCTGGGAGGAAGGGCTCGAGTTCGCGCAGGCGCCGCTGGAGCTCACGGTAACGTGGATCGGCTCCGGCCCGGAGCTCGCAGGCCGGGCTCGGCTTGCCTCGCCCGATTGGCGGGCTGGAGCCTCGGGGAGACTCCCGGCCGTCCCCGGCGCCTCGGCCGCGCCTGGTCTGGCTTCTTGGGGGCCTGTCTGCCTCGGGTGCGGCGTCCCGCCGCGGTCGCGGCTGTCCCCGGGGCACTCGGGTCCTCCGGCCCCCCATCTGCCGGGGAAGGGGCCACCCCCGCGGGCCCCGGGCCCAGGCGCTCTTCAAGGCCCTTGCTTCCTTGAGATCATTCGTGTCTTGTTTTCTGCAGCCAAGGGGACACCACGGGGCCACGAAGCCGAACAGCACCAGCAAGAAGCCTGGACGCGGAGGGCAGGCCGGGCAGGGGCAGGGGCAGGCCGGGCAGGGGCAGGGGCAGGCCGGGCAGGGGCCGGGGCAGGCCGGGCAGGGGCAGGGCCAGGCCGGGCAGGGGCAGGCCGGGCAGGGGCAGGGGCAGGCCGGGCAGGGGCAGGGGCAGGCCGGGCAGGGGCAGGGGCAGGCCGGGCAGGGGCAGGGCCAGGCCGGGCAGGGGCAGGGGCAGGCCGGGCAGGGGCAGGGGCAGGGGCAGGCCGGGCAGGGGCAGGCCGGGCAGGGGCAGGGGCAGGGGCAGGCCGGGCAGGGGCAGGCCGGGCAGGGGCAGGCCGGGCAGGGGCAGGGGCAGGCCGGGCAGGGGCAGGGGCAGGCCGGGCAGGGGCAGGGGCAGGGGCAGGGGCAGGCCGGGCAGGGGCAGGGGCAGGCCTGGCAGGGGCAGGGGCAGGGCCAGGCCGGGCAGGGGCAGGCCGGGCAGGGGCAGGGGCAGGCCGGGCAGGGGCAGGGGCAGGGGCAGGCCGGGCAGGGCCAGGGGCAGGCCGGGCAGGGGCAGGGGCAGGGGCAGGCCGGGCTGGGGCAGGGGCAGGCCGGGCAGGGGCAGGCTGGGCAGGGGCAGGCCGGGCTGGGCAGGGGCAAGCCGGCAGGCAGGACAGGCAGGCCGGGCAGGGGCAGGCAAGCTGGGCAGGGGCAGTGCAGGCCTGGGGGCTGGCTGGGCAGGGGCAAGCGGCAGGCAGGACAGGCAGGGTGGGGCAGGGGCAGGGTGGGGCAGGCTTGGCAGGCAGGCTGGGCAGAGGCAGGGCAGGCCAGGCAGGCTGGGCAGGGGCAGGGCAGGCCTGGGGGCTGGCCGGGGCAGAGGCAGGCCAGGCAGGGGCTGGCAGGGGCAGGGCAGGCCTTGGGGCTGGCAGGGGCAGGGCAGGGCAGGTCTGGGGGTTGGCAGCTGAGGATTGCAGACTTGAGCAGTGCTTAATTCTGCAGGCTTCCTGTGTAAAGGGTGCAGCCACTGGCCAGGTGTGGCCACAGGAGAGGACCATGAGGACACTTAGTGGTCTCCCAGACTTGCCTGGAAGTCTCCTGGGGGTACTCGTGAGATCAAGGCTGGTGGCTGGTGTGGCTTCCTGGTTTGGGGCCAGTAGACCAGCCAACAGAGGAGCACAAGAACCTGTGGCCTTCCCGCCTGAGAAGCAGCTGGATTTGAGCCTGTTGATTTGGTAGCTGAGGTTTCTGCTCAGCCACTGTAGGGCGGCCAGCTCCACAGCCGGTTTGCTGAGCCAAGCCCTACGTGGGAAGGAGGAAGCAGACAGCAAGGCCTGTCACGGGCGGGGAGAGGCCCACCCAGAGAGGCCTGGCAGTCTCACAGCTGTTGAGGTGGTTGACTCAGGAGAGAAATGGAAGAAACAGGCAAGACCAGGCTCTTGGTCACTGCGATCATCTCAAGTGTTGTGAGACAGCACATCAGGCTGACCACAGAACAGACTGGGCTTCCCAGGCCATTAGGCCCTGCTCTGTGTGAGTGCAGTACTGGCCTGAGAACACAGCCCTACAGGAGGGGACAGGTGCACGTCAGCAGATGGCCCGCGGGAGCTGGGGACACGGAGGGCCCATAGGGACGGAGCAGTGGCTCAGTGGCCAAGTCTTTACTGAGCCCAGGGAGCCCAACACTCTTCTGTGCTTTAGGGATACAAGAAAACAGAGATGGGAGGGAATGATGGAAAAGGTGATGTTAATTAGGAGCCACTGGAGGCAATCTAACTTGCGGAAGTGAAACTCCTCCGTACGTGTGATACTTCACCACCACCAAGAACCCATCACGGAGCTAAGGTTCTCTTGGGATGGCTACCCGGGGGGAGGTGGAATGCCCAGTATGCCGGACGGACCGGAAGATCTGGTCCAAAGCCCAGGTTTTGGTTACCTGCTGTAGGAAATACATGTGCCTGGGTCAGAAAGAGTAATAACTTGATTTAAAAAAAAATAAAAAGGTAGAAGGGTGAGGCTACTGGCCACCATTTGTGCCCCTCTTTGGGTCTCCTTCTTCAGGCCTCTGAACTGCTAGCAGGAAAAAAAGAGGCTGGGCACCATCTTGGAAGCTCCCCTATGTCCAGCCAGGGGCATGGCGTGGGCTTCCTGCTCAGTTTGCTGAGGAGAACCCTGTTACTGCTCTTGGGTAGAACTCTGCTCAGACAGAATTGATTTTTTGTTGTTGGTGTTGGTCGTGGGGCTTGAACTCTTGAGCTCTTCAGCTCAAGGCTAGCACTCTACCACTAGAGCCACAGCACCACTTCTAACTCAGGCAGAACTGACTGGCAAGACAGTGCCAGCAGTTCTGTACAATGTCAGGAGTCACCCACAGCGGAGGACAGGCCTGCTTGCTGGCCACAGCAGTTGCATGCTGTGGCCAGACCACTACCCCATCAGAGGCCGAGGGGCTCTCGCCGGATGGTGCAGGCCTCCTCGGAACATTCTCCAGGCACTCGTCCAGCTCGCCGGACGCCACCTCTGCGGGAGCCCTTCCTGGGACTTTTCTGCCAATGGCTTTTCATCACATGTCCTTCCTCTCGCTATATCCCAGAGGGCCAACAGTACCCTCCCAAGTCCCTGCTGGCGGGAGGGTGGACTGCGAGCCAGTGTCACATCAAATGCAGAAACTAAAGCTGCCTTAGACAGGCATCGGTGGCTCATGCCTGTGCTCTTAGCTACTCAGGAGGCTGAGATCTGAGGATCACATTTTGAAGCCAGCCAGGGCAGGAAAGTCTGAAACTTTCATCTCCAATTAGTCGCCAGAAAAGCCAGAATTAGAGCTGTGGCTCACATGGTAGAGCACTAGCCCTGAGCAGAAAAAGCTCAGGGACAGCACCCAGGACCCGAGTTAAGCTCCAGGACAGGCATACACAAAATCTGCCTGAGAAGTTGCCAGGCCACAGTGGAGATGCTTTCCTGGCCTAGGTGCCAGGCAGATGCTGATGGATGGTGTGAACTAGGTGGAGGAGCAAATCAAGGTCCTGCAGGCAGAAAACCCAGCCGTCTTACCTATGCTCCCAGATACTTTCCTTGGTTCTACCCAAGAGACCAGGGCTCCTGGGCTTGTTCCTTCCTGAGGCCTTGGTGTAGGCCAGCCTGGGTCCCTCTTGTCATCAGCTCTTGGTCAAGGGGTCAGCAGAGTTGAGTCCCCAGCCTCCCTGGACCTGTGTACCCGTGTGTCCGCGTGACAAGCAAGGTAGTCGTTTGTGTGAGGGGCCCTGGAGATGCCCTCTAAAGCCACAAAGTCACCACTGTGGTACTCTCTGTGCTGGCATCTCCTAAAGGATGCATGGCCTTGCACTCCTCATCCCTGACCACAGGGCAGCTTTTCCCAGGCACTATCCCTGCACAAGGGCCCCAGGCCTGAGACTTCTGATAGTAATAGACGCCTCTGCTGAGCTACTCCTCAATGCCCTCCCAGCACTTCTTGGGATGCTGGAGGTCACAGGGGCCTAGATCCTGCCCAAGGAGTAGCTCAGTGCCACAACTGGCCCTCAGGGAAGCCAGCTGTAATCACTGTCTCCTGTGGTTCAAGCTCAGACAACCGTGCTGCCACCCTGGCTCATAGCCACCCCATCCCACGCACAGCCCCTGTGGAGGAAGGACCCGGCCTCCGTGTGCAGTAACAGCTTTAATGTATAGTGGCCGACACATCAGCCTCCCACCCTCCTGCCCCCAGCGCCCCCTCTTGGGGAGCTGAGGCAGGTGTGCTGAGCAGGTTGGTGGTTGGTGTCACCCAGTACCTTTTCAAAGCCCGTTTATGGTCAGCACTGCGGTACACTCGGCAGGGACAGGCTGCAGCCCATGTCACAGGGTTGGGACATCAGAGCAGACCCGCTGGCCTCCCTCCCTGCCGTCCCCAGGGAGCTGAAGCAGGTGCGATGGGCAGGTTGGGGGCTGGTGTCTCCAGTGTCTCCAGGAGACCTGTTTATGATCAGCACTGAGGACAGTCCGCAAGCACAGGCCGCAAGGCCAGGATGTGGGCACAGAGAGGCAGGCTCCGGTATTTATATATTATACATATACATATATATATATATTTTTTTCATGTGTATACACAGATAGTTTTCTCTCTGGAAAGTATTAAAAAAATTGATCAACCTTCAATCTATAAAAAATACCTACTCTACGTGATAGAAAAATCTCTCCTCCAAGTTTACACTGATTTACACCCAAGGCTTTCCCCAAAATGTACAATATGCGGCAACATCTTAAACTGTAGTGTAGAGGGTGGGTGGGGGCAGTGGAGGGATGCAGGCAGCATGTGTGAGCACACGCACACGCACGCCTGTGTGCACACTCATGCTGGCGTGCACACACTCGCACACAGTGGACAGACAGTCTTTGTGGCGGGATTCCAGCCACCCCGGGGCACTGGGGCTGCCGGCCAGGGCCCAGGCCCAGGCAGGTCGAGCAGCTTGTGGGTGATGCCACTCTGGGGCAGTGCAGGGTAGGGTGGTAAGGGCTCCTCTGTCCCTCGTCTGTGTGCAGTCTCCCAGCCTGCCCTCCTACAAAATATACCCTTATGACTTAGTCAGACACCAAAAGGGAAACCTGGTTCCAGAGGCCTGAGAAGCGTGCCTTCACCCAGGGCAGTGATGGGCACTATGCACTATCGGGTGCTAGGCTCTAGGCGGCCAGAGAAAGTCACATCTCTGCAAAGAAGCAGCACCTGCAACTAGAGGCAGAGGGGTCAGTATGTCCACCCATCCGGGAAGGGAGTTCTCAAGTCCTCTGCTCAGAGCAAAGGCTCCTGATGGGCTCCTGGCCTAGGGCCCCACAGGAGGGGCAGAACCTGAGGGAAGAGCAGCGAGGTTCACGCCATCGGAGTGACTGCAAGGCTCTGGGGCCCTGGTCCAGATGTGGCCTGACGGCCGCCTGGTGGACAACCTGAGCCACTCCCAGCCCGACTCACACGCGCCAGCCTTGCCTGCTGTCCTACCCCCACCGTCATCCCCCGTGAGGGCCCAGGGCTCGCATGCCAGGCGTGGGCGGCACCTGTCAGGAGGCCTGAGTAGAAAGCTGCGGGCTCTTCCCATAGGGCCGCATGGCGGGAAGAGGGTCTGCCACAGAGGAGACACAGGGTGGCTCACCCCAGCCTGAGACTGTCCCCAAGCCCACCACTGCTGAGAAGACACAGGTGACTGTGGGCTGGGTGACGGGGTGAGGGGCCCTGGCTCCCCCGAAGGGCGGAGCCAGCAGCAGGCCCAGCCTCGCTCCTTGTCTGCTACCTGGGCTTCCCTTCCTGGCTTCTTACTACCCTCCACCTTCCGCAGCCCGTCTTCACGTGCCCAGCCCGGCCTTGTGAGGGCCTGTCGGCCCCCGGCTCAGCCGGCTGTGGGGTCTGGGGGCCTTAGCTGGGAGTGGTGAGGCAGGGCCACTCCAGTGTACTCATGGAGCCCTGGACCAGCCCAGGGCTCTGCTGTTCTACTTGACCTCCAGGATGGACGGGTTGGTCTCCATGATGGCCACGATGATCCTGTCGATGTAGTCCTGTAGGCGGAAGTTGATCTCTTCTTGCTTTTGGATTGCTTCCATGAGCTGTGTGAAAGCAGGGAGTCAAGATTGGGGAGAGCAAGGGGTTAGAACACGGAGCACAGAGCTCGGGGATGCAGGTGGTAGGGTGTGCTACCTCATCGCGGGAGACGGAGCTGATCTCTGCAGCCAGGGACTCAGAGAAGGCTGTGGAGAAGAGGCTCTTGGCGCCCTGGATGCTGAGGGTGATGACCTGTCCATTCAGCTCGTCATTCTGCTCCTTCAGGTTGCGGTTGTCCTGCAGGACACACGTCGTCACGTTGGGCCAGGGCCCCTGCTAGGGGCTGGCCTAGGGAAGGACCGGCCAAGGGAGACGGTCAGCTAAGGTCCTTTCCCATTCCAGCCTTCTGGAAGCTTCTGCCGGAGTAAGCACAAGGGGCTGAGCCATACCTGTTTGAGCCTTCGGACCTCCTGCTCCAGTTCACTCTCTCGGGCACGGCTGTTGTACTCCTGCAGACCCTGGCTACTGCTGCGGCCCCGTTTTTGTTCTGTCTCCAGCCTGAGGAGCTGCAGATGCTCTAGCTGCTTCCGGAGGTCCTCAATAAGCTATGAGGCAACCAGAGGACAGGCACCTGCCAGTCAGCCACCCACTGCTGTGAGACTTAGCACCTCACATTTCAGAATGCCACTGGTCTTGCCCAGTAGCCAAAAGAATGAAAGGCTCCTCAAGCCTTCCCTAGGTGCCAGGCTTCATCTAACTGGGCAGGAACATGGGCGGAGCAGGCGGCTCTGCTCACCTCCTGCGTTGCCTCCTTGTCTCTCTGGAACTGGTGCCTCTCATGGCTCAGCCTGTCCCCCATCTTCCTCTTGTTCTCTTGCTCTTCACTGAGCCGCAGTGTCAGCTCTTCAATCTCATCCAGCAACTTCTGCTTCTCCTGCAAAAGCAGACAGCAGTGTGGACACGTGGCCTTGCCTCCTGCAGTGTGCCCAAGTGTGCTCTCCCGGGGTGTCTACTGACACAAACACGGGGGCTCAGAGCCCTGTGGTCTATGCACACATAGGCCATAAGGGCTGTTGTTTTTAGCAGGGAGGGAAGGAGTGTCCTTTGGGCAAGGCCTGACACCTACTACTTGTGGGTCGTTCTAGCCTGGCTCCTCTGATTCACATGAGCTGGAGCCCAGGTGGTCTCGGAACATGCTGGTTTTGAGGTGCCCAAAAGGCACTTTAAAGGAATGAAGAGAGGAGGTCTCTCAGCAAATGACTGGAGCGGGGAGCCCACAGCACTGCCTTTGCTTGCAGTGTCCGAGATCGGGGTTGCCAGTCTGCCCTTCAGGAGCATGTTCCAGTGAATTCAGACAAATGGAGCTGATCCCATGGTGGGTCTCTCTGGACCCTGTGCCAGTTTGTGGGAGATCTGGAAACTGGGAAGGATCCAGTGCCACCAGCAGGACACACTGTTCTGCTCCAGAGGCCTGACTTCATGTCCTTGCTGCTACTTGGAATTTAGAGCAGAGGGTGGGGAAAGCCCTTGCGTGGCAGAGCTCTGCCGACTTCGGACAGCCCAACACACTGCCGGGGGTCCGTGGCTCACCTCCTCCAGACGCTCGATGGCGGCCTTCAGGCAGGGCGTGCAGGACCGCAGCTCACTGTTCTCCTCATCCAGCTGCTGCAGCCTGGGGCACAAAGAGGAGGCTCGGACTGAATCCCCAAAAAGGGGTCAAGATCGGGGGGAGCCCTGGCAGGAAGCTGCACTGTGACCGCCACTTGCTGTGGCCAAGGAAAGCCAAAGCCTTACAGAAAGCTTTGAGTGAGTGTGTGTGTGAGAGAGAGAGAGACAGACAGAGACAGAGCTCAGAGCCTCTCGCTCTCTCATTTGACTTTTTCTGCTGACATGCTACCACTTCCCACTTCCAGCCCTTTTCTGGTTAGAGATAAGAGTCTCATGGACTTTGCTCCCTGAGCTGGCTTCAAACTACAATCTTCAGATCTCAGCCTCCTGAGTAGCTAGGATTACAGGTGTGAGCCACCAGCACCCAGCTCTAGACCAACACTTTTCTGTTAACACCAGACAGATTTTAAGTTCACTTTGGGCTTGGGAATAACTTCAGGTTTATAGGGAAGTCACAGGCTTTCCCAGGGTCCCTGCAGGCTCTCTGGTGCTGCCACGGCTCAGACTGTGTTGTGCCACACTCGGCGGGGAGACACTACTAAACACACTCCATCTACGGATTCCACGGCACCACCCTCACATCCCTTTGTTCCCCAGTCGTCCTTCCTGTGAGCTGGACAGTGCCAAGCGCCCTGGCCGTGTCCTCTGAAGAAGGTACCTCACACTGAGTGTCCAGGTTTCTTTGTGGTGAGATGGGGATGGTAGGTTTGGGGAATTTCACTGAAGACCAAGGCCTTCTCACCATACTTACTTGACACCCAAAGGACTCCTACATCACCAGCTGAGTCCAGTCCCCAGGAGAGGGGACTCTATGCCATTCCTTAAAGGCAAGTCTGCACATTCCATTGGCAGTTGCTCTGAGGGGTAGCCTTGAGCCTTCTCCCCGTCTACCCACTGCTCATCTGTGCTACAAAGGCCCCTGGTTTTGCTCCTAACCACTTCACCTCCATATAAGGTGTACATTTCTGTTATCTGGCACCCCTTGCAGAGTGGCCATTAATGTACAAATGGCCACAGCATCAGTTCCATGGAGCCCAAAAGGAATTCTGTAAATTCCTTAAAAAAAACTTAAAATTTTTAAAAATTTTCTTTTTTAAATTTAGCATCTGGTTCTACTACCCATGCTGGCCTTGAGTTCCTCGGCTTGGGTGAACAGCTGAGGCCACAGGCCCAGGCCGCTGCCTGGCTAAGGCTGCTGTGTCGGTGTGGAACACAGAAGGACAGGCGTCGGTTCAGGGACTTTTAGGAAAGGATTGAGGTTCTGGTCTTTACAAGTCCCCCCTTTGCCACAGCGGGGCTCCTTCCCAGGTTGTGGAGGACCTCCCTCACCTGCCTGGAGCCTCACCCACCTGGCCTGCAGGACCTCCCTCACCTGCTGGAGCCTCACCCACCTGGCCTACAGGACCTCCCTCACCCACCTGGCCTGCAGGACCTCCCTCACCTGCTGGAGCCTCACCCACCTGGCCTATAGGACCTCCCTCACCTGCTGGAGCCTCACCCACCTGGCCTGTAGGACCTCCCTCACCTGCTGGAGCCTCACCCACCTGGCCTGCAGGACCTCCCTCACCCACCTGGCCTGCAGGTTTTCAATCTCGATGCTCTTCTCGCGCTCCATTTTGCACAAGAGCTCCTTCTGCTTCCGGGCCTCTTCCAGGACCATCTCACTGGCTCTCAACTCCTGCTCCTTCAGCTGTTCCTCTAAGGCGTTGGCTCTAAAGGCAAAGTAGGGTTCACATGAACATGCCTGCAAGCCTACATGGTGTCTGTTCCCAGGTCCTGCACACGGACAGTGGTAGCTGCTCCTTGGGCTGTAACACATGGCTGGGTTGTCCGCACACACTGCCTCAGAGGGGCCAGAGCGCACTGGGTCCACGGGGTGCCACCCTCTGCAGCTAACGAATGTGACAGCTGGCCACCAACCTTGCAGCATGCAGAGGCAAGTCTGGGTTTCAGCAATGGTGTGTTAAAGTTATGGCAAAGCTTCTAGCCACATCCAGGCTGAATGTGGGGCCAGCTGCCGGGCACGTGGGAACCCCTATGTCTAATGCTACCAAGAAATATGAGCACCACACTGTGAGAGGAAGACAAAAGTAATTCTCAGAAACTAAAACTATGAGGGAGCTGGGTGCTGGTGGCTGTGATCCTAGCTACTCAGGAGGCTGAGATCTGAGGATCATGGCTCAAACTCAGAAAAAGTCAGAAGTGGTGCTGCCACTCAAGTGGTAGAGCACTAGCCTTAAGCACAAAGAGGCTTAGGGACATCACCCAGACCCTGAGTTCAAGCCTCAGGACCGGCAGAAAATAATGAAACTGTGAGGCTGTGGGTTAGGGGTGTGGCTCAGTGGTAGCCCTTGCTTAGCATGCACAAGACCAAAGGGGCCTTCTTCACAGCGAAGGTGACAGACACGTACCACAAGATCCAGATTATTTGTATTCAGATGAATGTGTGGGAGGGAGTCATACTTTTTGTCTAGGATGGCCTCACACTGAGACTTTCCAAAGGAGCTGGGCTTACAGACACAAGGCACCATACCTAGCAAAAGCTTAATTCAACAGAAGAGTTGGTGAGGGAAACTGAAGATTTATCTATTTTATTTTTTGTCAGTTTTGGGGCTTGAACTCAGTGCTACTTGATTGTTTATGGCTGGTATGCTACCACTTGAGCTGCATTTCTAGTCCTTCTTTTTTGGTAGTTAGTTGGAAATAAGAATCTTGTGAACTTTTCTATCTGGGCTGCCTGGCTAAGACCTGAGAACAGGGACAAAAAGTCAAAATCGGAAATTAGGAAAATGAAATGGGAGGGAAGTTTTAGGTTTATTATGATCAAAAGAATTGAAGAGAGATTGAGTAGAGACCAAAAAGGTTCTAAAACTAGAGAGGTAAGTTTCCTAGAGTTATAGGCTAAACTCTAAGCACTAATCATAGAAAACAGTGAGCCTCAACTCACCACATCTAGGATGGGAAACAGGCCACATAGAGGCTGGAAAGAACCAGCAGTGCAGGCTTCTGCACCTGGATCAGCTAGCAGCGGAGCACAGCTCTAAGCCCCAGGAGCCTTACTTCTAACCTGGCACACTGAGCCCTACTAAGCCAGCACCTGCAGGCAGGGTAGAGTGGGGATGAGCATATCTTTTTTTTTTTTTGTCCGTTGTTGGGCTTGAACTCTGGGTCTGGGCGCTGTCCCGCTGCTCTTCAGCTCAAGGCAAGCGCTCTACCGCTGAGCCACCTTTCTCGCCAATTCATTGGATAATTTTTTTTTTTTTTGTTGGTTGGTCATGAGGCCTGAACTCTGGGCCTGGGCGCTGTCCCTCAGCTCTTCAGCTCAAGGCGAGCGCTCCACTGCTTGAGCCACAGTGCCACTTGGATGAGCACATATTTAGACATGCAGATCTCAAACAACAGAGCTTCTATACACCCTTTTCCAGCATCTCTCTGGGGCTGTCCCCTCTGAAAATGAGTACAAAGAAAAGGAAAATACAGGTTTATAAAGAAAATGGGTGGGGCTGGGAAGATGGCTCAGTGGTAGAGCGCTTGCCTTGCATGCCTGAGGCCCTGAGTTCAATTCCTCAGCACCACATAAGCAAAAAGAAAAAAGCCGGAGGTGGCGCTGTGGCTCAAGTGGTAGAGCGCTAGCCTTGAGCTGAAGAGCTGAGGGACAGCGCCCAGGCCCAGAGTTCAGGCCCCATGACCGGACCCAAAAATAAAAAAACATTAAGAAAATGGGTATGCTACCCAAGAGCAAGCAAGCTCACAGGTCTAAGATGATGGAAAGGGAAGGTCATGCGAAAGGCAAGAGAGCAACTGCTTCCGAGTGGACTTGTGTGCAGAAATGGGAAAGAGGAAAGGCTGCACAACACAATGCCCAAGAAGTAAGAGTCCTGGAGAGTGAGCAGCGCTGCACCTGGGCTGGCCTCTCTCAGGAGAACCTGTGGCTTGCTGGAGTGATACCACCTATTTTGGCTGTCTTGAATGTTGGCCTCACGCATGGTCAGGATGACCTAGCTGTAATCCAAACACTGTCACAGACGAGGAAGCGGGGTCGCAGAGGGACAGAACCCTGTGAGAGCCAGGACCTCAGTGGCCTGCCGGAGGGTCCAGTGAGGACCTGGGTTCAGAGGACAGAGTCCTGCCTGTGATTCTACAAGGGCCTCTGAGAGCAACCCCCTCCTCTGTGGTGCCCTGTGGTGCCCAGCTCCTCCACGGGAACTAACGCCCTGCCCAGCTAGTCTCATCCTGCATAAGAAACATGAGGGCAAATGTAATAGGCCTTGTTTGAGCACTCCAAAATGCAGCATTTCAAGGACCCTAGAGCAGGAGTGGGCGCGCCCTACACAGACACAGCCCCACACCGTGTCCTCCTCACAGCCTGTCCAGTGATGACAGCTCACCAACCTATTACCTTCCTTAGTTCTCTGCCACGAAGCCACTCCCATAGGCTGCAGTGCTCAGGGTGGGCTGTGACCCTGCGCATCAGGGTGGCCTATATGTCTGCCAATACCTCCTTCACTTGTTTCTCTAGCACAGGGCTCTGACCTCTGCCCCAAAGCCCCTGCTGCTTTCTCTGAAGCCTTGGGCAAGGACTCACCTGACCTCCCCATGCCCACTTCCTCGTCCGTCAAACAGCAGCATCTGCCTCCCACGGTGAGAGCAAGGGTGAATGAGATGGTACAGGTGGGAGTGTCTGGGAGCAAAGAGCCTCACCCAGGGAGTAGTGCCACGGCCAGATACTTCCTCAGGGTGGGTTCTCAGAAACGGGCGAACAGTCACAGGTCTCTAATAGTTACTGCTGGGTGTAGGTGAACCCTAGGACTCCCAAGCTCTTCCAAAAATCGACTTGGAGAAGCTCTGGATGCACCCACCGTCCAATGAGGAATAATAACGTGTGTAGAAGTCTGTTTTAAACTCAGGATGCATGCTGAGTCAAACCCCCACACTGCCGTCCTATTTTTATTTTTTGGTCCATGCTGGTGTTTCAGCTCAGGGCCTCTCATTCACTCTTTTTGTTTGCTTGGCTGGTATCACTTTTTCTTTTTCTTTTTTTGCCAGTGCTGGGGCTTGAACTCTGAGCCTGGGCACGGTCCCTAAGCTTCTTTTGCTCAAGGCTAACACTCTACCACTTGAGCCACAGCACCACTTCTGGATTTCTCTGTGTATGTGGTACTGAGGAATGGAACCCAGGGCTTCACGCAAGCTAGACAAGCGCTCTAACACTAGGCTACATTCCCAGTTGTCTGCTATTACTTGAGCCATGCTTCCAGCCCTGCTTTTTGCTGTTACCTTTGTAGACAGGGTCTCAAAAACTTCTGCCTGGGCTGGCCTCAAATCATGATGTCCCAGATCTCAGCCTCCTGAGAGCCACCGGCACCCAGACCCCTGCATTTGCATTCAATGGCTCTCAGTCACGAGAGCCCATCACATCGTGTGGTTAAGACTCTTACTCACCTGTGCACTAGCTGGAGGTTCTCCTGCCTCAGCCGGCCATGTTGCTCCCCAGCAGCCACGCTGTCCTTCTCCAGCTCTGACACCCTCCTCTCCAAGAAGACAACCTCAATAATGAGAGGATGGCTTCAGAAGCAAGTACAGAGAGGCAGAGGGGTCCACACCCCACCCCGCCCCCGAGAACCCTGCTCAGCAACTGTTCTGTAACCACACTGCAGTCACCAGGGTGAACACCAAGGGGCCTCCGAGGTGGTGGGGACCAGGAGCACCTTCTGACTGGTACATGGCCCACTGCGGTCAGCACTGCCACCTATTAGAGCCCTACTCTGCTGGACAAAATACATAGAGGAGGCCCAGGACCTATGGGACAGGAGGGACAAAAACCTCAAGTTTTAGCTCCTCCCTCCCTCAGGAACTCTCAGCATGGGAGACAAATACCTGTACAGGAAGAAGGGAAGAAGAGAAAGGACTTCTCTAGTCTACAGAATGCCAGATGCCACAGAGAAGGGGCTTGCCGCAGAGGGATGGTGGGAACAGAGGGAAGCAGGTTGGTGGCCATCCCCTCCAAGGCTCAGACTGCCCCTGGGGAGTGGTCTGACCACCGAGGCCCACTGCCTCACAGCTGTGACTTGAGCTAAGTCCCCAGGAAAACAGCCATTCCTGATGTTGTGGCTCTGTGCCATTTACAGCCAAGTGGCCTGGCTGCTCTCCAATCCCCAGGTACCTGGTCTTGTCTCCATTGGCCCCGGGCAGATGACTCTCTGTTATCCCATTGATGCTGCCGTCCTGAATGGACTCAAAGGTACACACAGGCACGCAGTCATGCTGGAGATGGGGCACCAGGTTCTGTAGATCCCATGCTCCATCCCGTTCCTTTTGGCTGGCTCTGCCCAGGTGCCACGGAGTGCCCTCTTTGCATCAGGGCCACTGGACCCCTTACAGACCTCACTGAGGAGTATCAGGCTGACCCAGAAGAGCTAACCAGCAACTGATGACGCCATGGCTATCTGAGCTGTCCTGACAGTTTCTCAAGGCCAGGGCAAGGCCAAGTGTCCCCAATGGCTGGCAAGCGTCTCAGAGAAACCACAGGTTCTCAGATGCCAGCAACATTCCCAACACACAGGGTCCTCGGCTCCCGTTTCCCATAGCTTACCTTGTCAGCAATGTCTTCCTCTAGGCCCTCTGCGGGATCTGGGGGAGGGTCCTCCAGGGCCTCCATAGTCAGAGCCCCCGACTGGTGCAGGTACCTATGGAAGAGAGTCCGCAGCAGGGGAAAGAATGGGAAAACCCAAAGGACAAGCTCTTCTAATACCAGCACTTCCAAATCCTCCTCAAAAGTGGTTTGCATTATGACAGGGCAGAGGCCTCTACTCCTGGCTGGGGGGCGGGGAGTCTCCTGAGCAAAGCATTGAACGAGAGGTTCTGCAGGTAAGCTGCCTTTACCAAGGGGCTGGAAGTGAGCAGGCTGCACTCTGGTCAGAGTCCTCCCATTGTTCTTTGGACCCTAACAGTACGACCTCCCTCCCCGTCAGCTAATGGGACAAAGGTACTTTGTACTTGGGCGCAATAAAATACATCATTTCTCAACATGATAGAGGCCCATCAAACATTAATTCAGGATTTTGACTCCTGTACAGGACACCTATAAGGATTTTATTTTATTTATTTATTTTTGGGTGTGGCCGTGGGGCCTGTACTCTGGGCCTGGGCACTGTCCCTCAGCTCTTCAGCTCAAGGCTAGCACTCTACCACTTGAGCCGCAGTGCCACTTCCGGCTTTTTTTTTCTGCTTATGTGGTGCTGAGGAATAGAACCCAGGGCCTCAAGCATGCAAGGCGAGTGCTCTACCACTGAGCCACCTTCCCAGCCCAAGGATTCATTTTAAACACACACACACACATAAAATTTATCTGTTTGTTTATTGGTCATGGGGTATCAACTCTGGGCCTGGGCGCTGTCCCTCAGCTCTTCGGCTCAGGACGAGCGCTCTGCCACTTGAGCCACAGCGCCACTTCCGATTTTCTGGTGGTTTATTGGAGATGAGTCTCATGGACTTTTCTGTCCTGGCTGGCTTTGAACTGTGATCCTCGGATCTCAGCCTGAGTAGCTAGGATGACAGGCGTGAGCCACCAGCGCTTGGCTTACTTTTTTATTTTTTGAGTGAGGGTCTAGCGCATAGCCCAGGGTGGCCTCAAACTCACAATCCTACCTCACTCCTCCTCAGCCACCTGAGGGCTGGAAGTATAGGCATTAACCACTTTGTTGACAAGTGCACCCTTGGGCTGTGACAGTTTTGGGTCCTAAGAGAAGCCGTGGGCCCTAGAAGCCAAGATGCACATGTGCTCTACAGCAACAATATCAGTAGACAGGATTTTGATCTACCCAGGTCAAGACGGAACCCTGACCCTGTAGTCCTGCTAATTCTAAGTATTCCCCTGGGTAGGGGCTACTTCCCAGCTGCTGATGTCTTGGCTAAGTGCCCAAACTAACCTCCTCATGATGTTATGGTGTCTAAACCATAACATGGACATACGAATAACAGCAAAGCTTGCATCTTAGGGTCTTCTCATGCCCTGGAAACTCCAATACTAACCCAGGCCCCAAACCTGACAGTCTGAGTCCAGAGTCGTGTGACCCTCAAAAAGCTCTAGCCCTCTCCGCCTTCCTCTTCCTCTCCCTCAGCAGGGAACTTCCGGCAGCCAGTATGAGGCTGAAACAAGAAGATGTTTGTAGACAGTTTTGCTAAGGATGAAGCCCAGTAAAAGAATTCAACTGCTAGTGATAACTACATGAAAATGTCTACCTCATTAGTGAATAGAAAGGAAGGTGGCACCTTTGTTCCTAGAGCCACAAACCTACATGTGCACACTTGCTAGGGGCACCCAGTGTCCCCGGACCTGCTCTGGGCTCCTCAGACTCTTGAAACGGTGCTTGCTGATGGACACTGTGTGGGCCAGTCATCGCTCCGCACCTCCCAGGACAATCAACTCAATGTGAAGCCACTCTCAGGCAGGGAGCTGCCTAGCTCAGACGCAGAGACCACAGGACAGGGAGAGCACACTGTCCCCAACCACTCAGCATGGTTGCCTAGCAGAAGTGCTTTTTTGTTTTTTTAACCCATGAGGAAAGGAGAATTCTTCACTTATCCTTCCCTAGTGAGGAGGCCAACAGGAAAAGGGATTGTGGGAGGCAGGTAAAGGCTGGCAGAAGGATAATGAGGTGCTGGAACTCCAAGACCAATCTTTTGCCTATGGAGTGTAGCCAGTGGCCCTGCTGGGGTCCAACCGGACCTGATCCGTCAGGTGCCTCATGGAGAGCGCCAGTCCATCTCTACAGACAGTAAAGGAACGGTCAGGTCAGGGAAAGGCACACGTTGGTCAGAGACACAGCTGGCACTGCAAAGGCATCACCTCAGCCACAATGCACCTACAAAGAGATGAACGCTTCTGCAAAGTGGATTGTGGAAAAGCTACTTTGTGTTTCCCAAGAATTCTGGGGCTCTTCCCAGAATTCCCAGAAGGGAAAACCTTGGACAGATTAAAATCTGCACACATGTTTAAATGCATTTATGTTCTGCAGGTACACTACAGAATACGCTTCTGCTCTGTAAATCTCACTGTGAATACCCACAAGTTGGGCCTTTTTATACCAAAGGTGTCTGTAAAGGGAAAAGAAATTCTTGGAGAGTAGTTCAAAAGATGTAGTTTGCCAGGCACCGGAGGCTCACGTCTGTAATCCTAGCTACTCAGGAGGCTGAGGTCTGAGGATCACGGTTCAAAGCCAGCCTGGGCAGAAACGTTCATGAGACTCTTATCTCCAATAAACCACTAGAAAACCGGAAGTGGAGCTGTGGCTCAAGCGGTAGAGCACTCGCCTTGGGCTGAAGAGTGCAGGGACAGCGCCCAGGCCAAGAGTTCAAGCCCCATGACCGACAAAAAAAAAAAAAAAAAAAGATGTAGCTCTCTACCACTCAGATTTGCAGAGCCATGAAGCTCCTCTCCTCTTAGCAGTGCATCTCTAGACACAAAGCCGGCCTGGGCCCCAGAGGCTGGCAGGAGATGGCTGGGCTGGGTTCTTACCTTTCTCAGTCCCACCAGTAGCCATGTGTTTGAGGCAAAAGGCTTTGATATAGTGAGCAGCACAGCAGGCTGTACCATTCTGACCCTGACTTTGGTCCTATTACTAAAAGCACAGTGCGACCCTGGCTTCTGCCCCCTCTAGACATCAGCCCTTGAGCAGGCCGTAAGAGCTGCAGGATATGAAGAGGAATTAGGACAAGCAGACCAGGCATGTCAGATCTGTGGGGAAAGACCCATAGAAATGGACAAAACCAGACTCATTATGATCTTTATGATTATATTTATGGTCTTTTTTTTTGGTCGGTGGTGGGGCTTGAACTCTGGGCCTGGGCGCTGTCCCTGTACTCTTCAGGCTCAAGGCAAGTGCTCTATCACAGCGCCACTTCTGGTTTTCTGAGTGGTTTATTGGCGATAAGAGTCTCATGGACTTTCCCCTGCCGGGCCTGGCTTTGAACTACGTCCCTCAGATCTCAGCCTCTAGTATCTAGGAATACAGGCGCGATCCACAGGCATCTGACTTGTATTTATGGTCTTTAGGGATAAAGAAAACATCTGAAAAGCTTCTACAGTGAGAAAAAGTCACAAAGAAACAAAAATTAGAACACAGTAATTTAAGCCTCTTAGCAACAGTCCTAGACCGGAAACCACAGCAAGGCATTCTTACTCCAGAGCAAAGGGCACAAGCAAAGCCCTGCCCGTGGATGGGCATCAGGAGCAGCTTGCATCAGCTGTCCCAGAGGCAGAGGTTAGGAGATCAAGGTTCAAGACCAGCCCAGTAAAAAGTGATATCTCCACCAGGCTGCGGTGGCTCACACCTGTAATCCCAGCTACTCAGGAGGCTGAGATCTGAGGAACCCTATTCAAAGCCAGCCTGGGCAGAAAAGTCCCTGAGACTCTTATCTCCAATTAACCATTCAAAAACCAGATATGGACCTGTGGCTCCAAGTGGCAGGGCATTAGCCTTGAGTAAAAGAGCTCAGGGACAGTGCCCAGGCTCTGAGTTCAAACTCCACAAAAGGAAAAGAAAAAAAAAGTGACATCGCCATTGCAGCAGCAGCAGCAGCAACAGCAGCAGCAGCCGCCGCCTCTAATCCTATTTACTAGGAGGCAGAAGTAGGAGACTCATTTGTCCATGCCAACCTAGACAAAAATGTGAGAACCTATCCAAAAATAACTAAAGCAAAAAAAGGCTAAGGACATGGCCCAAATGGTAAAGCACCTGATTAGCTGATTGGCAAGCATAGGAGTCTAAGTTAAAAACCCAGCACTAGCCGGGAGCTGGTGGCTCACGCCTGTAATCCTAGCTACTCAGGAGGCTGAGATCTGAGGATCACGGTTCAACGCCAGCCCGGGTAGGAAAGACTGTGAAACTCCTATCTCCAATAAAATACCATAAAACTGGAAGTGGCTCTGTAGCTCAAGTGGTAGAGCGCTCGCCTTGAGCTGAAGAGTGCAGGGACAGCGCCCAGGCCCAGAGTTCAGGCCCCACAACTGCCAGGTGCCGGTGGCTCACACCTGTAATCCTACTGAGGAGGCTGAGATCTGAGGATAATGGTTCAAAGCCAGCTTAGGCAGGAAAAGTCTGTGAAACTCTCCAATAAACTATTAGAAAACTGGAAGTGGTAGAGTACTAGCCTTATGCTGAAGAGCTGAGGGACAGCGCCCACAGCCCAGAGTTCAAGCCCCATGACCAGCAAAAAAACAAAAACAAAAAACAAAAACAGTACAAAAGAAAAAAAAAATCACTTACAAGGTCTCAGGAGTTATCACCTGGTACCTCTTTACTCAAGAATCTACAGAAGATGTGCTGTGCAAATAATGTGAAGGAATAAGTAGGGCAAAACGTGAAAGAAGGCAGAGATTCAACCTTGAAACAGAGGAACTTGCAGGTACTGGGGAGACCCGCCCAAGACCACAGCCACAAAGCTGGGGGTGAGCGGGGACGGGAGGGAATGGTTCCTGGGGGGAAATCTTCAGGCCCTACAGAGGCCTGGGCAGCACTGACTCCAGCAGTAGCTTGGGGAAACACTCCAGCATTTTACAGATCCTGAACGCTGACTTCAATGAAGACTCCACTGGACAGCCCAGGTGCCCTCACCTTCAACCAAAACCCAACAAATAGCTTTAGGACCGCACATCACCTCCGCAGAACAGAAACAGGCTGGGCAGCAAAGCAAGACTGACTGGGCTCTGAGAGGTCAGCCCCTCACTTGGTTGTACCTTATGCACCTGGCTGACAGCAGATACAGGGGACGCAGCACGCACAGGAAATATGTAGTACTAGAAGGTATCAAATCTGCCCTGGAAATCCCTCCCATAACCCAATCCTTCAAGTGAGTTTCCATCCCAAACCAGGTAACTTTTTTTTTTTTTGTTAGTCATAGGACCTGAACTCTGGGCCTGGGCACGTTCCCTCAGCTCTTCAGCTCAAGGCTAGTGCTCTACCACTTGAGCCACAGCGCCACTTCTGGCTTTTTATTTTTCTGCTTATGTGGTGCTGAGGAATCGAACCCAGGGCCTCAGGCATGCAAGGCAAGCCCTCTACCACTGAGCCACCTTCCCAGCCCCTAAGCTTTTGTGCTCAGGTCAGAGCTCTAGCACTTGAGCCACAGCTTCTCTCTAGGCTTTTTGGTGGTTAACTGAAGCAGTCTCATGGATTTTCCTGCCCGGGCTGGCTTCACACTGTGATTCTCAGATCTATCTTCTGAGTTGCTACGATTATAGGTGTGAGTTACCAATACCCAGCTAAAATGTTTATTTCGTTTTTAAAGTATAGCTGTCAATATCATCCAGAACATTCAGTAAAAAAGTCGAGGCTCTGCCTACCTTGCCACCTTCCTGCTGGAGAGCCGCTTGGCTGGGCTGTGCAAAAACCAAACAAACAGGAAAATCGTGTCAGGGAGCAGAGAGAAGGGCAGGAGGAAACAGGAAGCGACAGCGGGTTTAAGCATGCAGTCCTGGGTCCCAGGCAGGGCTCTAGGCACAGAACACACACTCAGCAAGACAGCAAAATTCCAGACGGAAGGTCAGGGCTGGGCCCCAAGCCTCCACGTATCTCATAACAAATGGTTCTCAAGCTACACCATGGCCCACCCATACTTGGCCATCAAAGGTTTCCAGTGAAACAAGACACAGGCTGCCTGTGGCAGGAGAACCTGTCATGGTTGGCCCCAACGCTTCATACTCAAAACACCTATGGGACAAGGGATTCAAGAGACCATTCCTGAAGTCAGTCCAATAACACATACATGTTGTCCATCTAGTTTAGCCAAATGTACCTCTTGTTTCTGGATCCCAGAGTATCACCTCCCTACTGAACCAGCAGAAGTCTGACTTATCTCTGAGCACTGGAGCCATGCCTCACCAGCCTCCTGATCTCTTTTGAGAGCCAAATCTATGCTGCGTTGTAGGGTGCGCCAGTCATAGGTTCAATACCTGTGGCCTTGGGTCAAATTCTTAATATTGGCTCTGGGGAAATACAGTGGCACCAGGGACTCATTTTCTGTTGCAATGTTACGATTTACCAGTAGAGGGCACTGGAGTGACGATGCAACCCTTTTAGTCCACTGGGCTCAGCTCTGCAGATGCTCAGCAGCTCAGGAGACAGGAACACTGAGATTGGCAGCCCAAATAAAGCCTTCTACCAAGTTGTACATGGTAGACCTCAATCCTGAGAGCACAGCAGGTATGATGTCTTTGCCACTCAGTTTCTCAGGGTTTTCCAGGTCTGTAGATGCAGATACTGATCGCATTTCCTAAACAATGCGTGAGGGCAGACTGCAGTATATCTGTCAGCCTCTGCATGGGTATATCTCTGCGTAGAAAACTTCAGTTCCTATAAAATTAATTGTTTCCACAGACATTCTCAAGCATCTGCAGACACAGTCCACTAGACATGACTCCAAAGACTCCAGGGGAGGTTTAGCCTAAGCCCCTTTATCATACATGCAGTGTGGCCATGGAGCTACTGTGAAGTGATCCATGGAGACCAGGACACAGGACTCACACTCCCGTTCCTCATGTGGCCTCACAGTCTGCCCACTTGAGCAGAACCTCGTAGGGTGAAAAGCCCCCAGTGGGCTTGCTGCTTGTGCTAAGCCACACCCACCACCCCACAAGGCCAGGCTCATGCCAAGGCAGGTTCTCAGCAGGGCAAGAGATTATCATCTCCATGTCAAAATCTTTGGAGAGAGCTGAGGGACAGCGTCCAGGCCCCACAACTGACCAAAAAAAAAAAAAGTGTTTGGAGAGCAAGAGGTGAGACACGTTCCTTCTTTTATAACATGCTGCACTCCAACAAAGGAGACATAGTTCCTTGCTTGCCCAGAACAGCACACAAAATGCCTAGCTGAACATGTAATAGGAAAACAGGCTTCTCTAAAATGCAAGCCAGGCCGGGTGCTGGTGGCTCACGCCTGTAATCCTAGCTACTCAGGAGGCTGAGATCTGAGGATCACGGTTCAAAGCCAGCCTGGGCAGGAAAGTCCGTGAGACTCTTATCTCCAATAAACCACTAGAAAACCAGAAGTGGTGCTGTGGCTCAAGCGGTACAGCGTTCGCCTTGAGCTGAAGAGCTGAGGGACAGCGCCCAGGCTCAGAGTTCAAGCCCCATGACCGACCAAAAAAAAAAAAAAAAAAGTTAAAAACAAAAAATAAAAAAATTAAAAACAAAAAACAAAAAACTGCAAGCCAGTAAGTCTTGGAATCACCACCAGATTTCCTCAAGCCTTCCAGGGACACCCCTCGATGAGTTTCTGCTTGTTAAGGTGGCCAAGACCTCACTGTACATCAGGATAGTCTGCACAAACTCTTCCACTAGCTCAAGGCCTCTTCTAGGAGACCATCCTGGGCGGCCGCATGAAGCCCACAGCACAAATGCCCGGTGCCTGGAGCAACTGCACAGAGTACCGTGTGTGGCACACCTCCTCTTCAGCCAGAGGCTCACAGGGCCAACACCCGCCAGTGCTGGTCAGCACTACAAGCTAAACCAACAGCATGCCGGGGCATATCAAAGTAAGTAAATGACCTGAAGATCTCATCCAACAGGGTTGTGAAATTGTAGCTCCCTGGAGTGCTGGTTTGTTTGGGCTTAGAGAGAGAACAAAGGGATGGGATACAAACTACCAGGTAAGAAGAAAAACAGAACTGCCAGGGGAAGAGCAGGCACGGCACCTAGGCGTAGCCTTGAAGGCAGAGTAGCCACCCCAGGCCTGCACTGTGGGCAAACTGCAGCCACCGTACAGAACAGAGGCTCCCACAGCACACACCATCTGGATTAGCCTAGTACTGCAGAAAGCTGCTCACACATCTGCTTCAAAGGATTTTAAATTCCCCACTTCTCCCTAATGTGACTCAGTTAAGGAGATTTTTTTTTTTTTTGGTTGTGGGGCCTGAACTCTGGGCCTGGGCGCTGTCCTTCAGCTCTTCAGCTCAAGGTGAGCGCTCTACCACTTGAGCCACAGCGCCACTTCTGGTTTTCTGGTGATTTTGATAAGAGTCTCATGGCCTTTCCTGCCCAGGCTGCTTTGAACTGCAATCCTCAGATCTCAGCCTCCTGAGTAGCTAGGATTATAGGCGTGAACCACCAGTGCTCAGTTGATTTTTTTTTTTTTATTTTTAACTAAGATGCAAGGCGTGACTTCTTGCACACTGGACTGTTTCTTCCCACAAAGACCATGGCTAGCAAGGCTACCACATGCACAGGGGTACGGAAAAGAGTAACAGGCACAGCTCAGGGCATGCAGGAAGGGGCCAGAATGAAGGAAGAGTCCCACTGTCTGGAACCCTCTTTGGGTTGGGCGTTCAGGCTGGTCTGGGTAATCACAGCCAGAGTACCCTGGGTCAGATCAGCATGGAGGCAGTGACCGCCAAAGTCTCCCTCACCCCTAGAACAAAGCAAGGCCGTGCACTAGTGTTACCTATTCATCTCAAGATCATTCAGGCGGGCAGAAAGGTCCTCAAGGCGGTTGATTTGTTTGTGGCACTGGCTACAGTAAAACTCAAAGGCCTCATCAGTGAGGATGTTGCGCAGCTTTGAAGCAAGTGGGTCGGAACTAGAGAGACAGAGTGTAAGGTCATAAGAGGAAAGGGTTTGTCAGGCTATCTGTGCCATGAGGAGGATGGGACAGGTGCTAGACAAAAGCAGGCTGGAAGAGAAGGAGCTGTGGGAGGCTCCCCTACATCCGTCCAAGGAGCCTGTGGCATCTACCATCCCTGGCAGGGCTCTGCAACACCTGCCCTCACAGGTCAGCAAGAGCCTCGCTAGGAAACAAAAACCTGCCTGACCAGAAGGTAAGGAGCACACAGCATTCTTCTCTGCGTAAGTGGATCTATGTGGCAGCAAAGTGTGCCTCCGGGGAGCACTGTGCTTTTGTTGTGGTTTTGAAGACGCTCTCAATACACAGTCCTGGGTGGCCTTGAACCCCTCATTTTCTTGCCTCAGCCTGTCAAGTGTTGGGATTATAGTAACATGCCACAACTCACTGTAGTATTTTAGTTAACTATCTCAGAAACTATCAAGATCAAGAACAATGTCTAGATGGTACACCATCAGCAGATCTGTGTTAAAAACAAAAATAAAACCTTTAGAAGTTAGCTGGGTGCTGGTGGCTCAATATATGTAATCCTAGCTATTTAACATCTATGAAACTGGGAATGTGGCTTAATGGTAGAAGGCTTGCCTAGCATGCATGAAGCCCTGGGTTCGACTCCCCAGTACCACATACATAGAAAAAGCTGTGGCTCAAGTAGTTGAGCACTAGCCTTGAGCAAAAGAAGCTCAGGGACAGCACCTGGGCCCTGAGTTCAGCCCTAGAACACAAAACAAAAACAAAAGACAACTGGGATTTATCCTCTGCGCTGCTGGTTGGCCTCCTGTGACTTCCTACCAATGGGTTCTTGGTAGCATGAGTGCACAGTGATGTTTCTGGTCTCAGAAACCAAGGTCTAGGAGGCAATGCCATCCCTAAGGCACTGGAAGCCACAGACTGTTGGAAACTAATCTGGAAGTTGATTTAAAGAAGGGTGAGAGGAAAACATAATACGTAACAGGGAAATTCTACTTTAGACAGAGAGTAATGAAAAAAAACTAGACAAGAGATAGATAGGAAGCGTGCCACAGCAGGACAGACAGGGACTCAGAATGCCCGTTTCTGTGGAGGAGCCAATGTTTCCCACCAATGTCTCTTCTCAGAAGGGAGAGCAGGCAGGGATGCCTTAGAGGGCTTGCCCACAGCGAACAGCAGCTTGGAGGAGGCACCCGGGTAGGAAGAGGAAGCCTGGCTCAGTTAGGGGCCGGCCTTCTTGGCACTGGCCTCCACAGCTCTAGCCATGACAACAAACAGCAGCTTTACCGATGCTGAGACTCTGCTGCTGAAGAGGATTTCAGGGCCCAGGAGAAAAAGGGAGAAGCAGCAACACAGATGGTACCTCCAACCAGATCTGGGCTCTACAAAGACCTAGGGGCGGTGCAATGCTGATAAGGGCTGGCGACCCAACGAAGCCAAGTAGACTCTGAATTCTGCTATATCTCCTCAGGCATAGCCCGAAGAGAAAGTGATGGTCTTGTTGACTAGATACCATTCAGCTTATTTATTTTTACATTTTATTTTTTTTTTAAAAAAGGCCTGCACACTGTCTCTGAGCTTTTTTATTCAAAGCTAGCACTTTATCACTGGCTTTTTGGTGGTCAACTGGAGATAAACAGTCTGGCTTGAATCCCAGTCCTAAGTAGCTAGGATAACAGGCATGAGCCACCAGCACCCAGTTCATTTATTTAAACCCAGATCTTCCAGAGAATTTGAAGACGTCAGGTAATTACAAGAATATGAATCCAAAATTGGGAGGGAGGGAGGGAAAGGGCGACACTGTCCAAAAAGAAATCTGTTCATTTCTTGATTTATATAACTAACGGTAACCCCTCAGTACTTCACCTTTATAATAACCATAAAAAAAATTTAAAAATGTGAATACAAAGACTGGCTTGCGATTCTACAACCTCCCTCAAAGTCAGCTGTAGACCATGAAATGACCTATGACCAGCACTCAGAACCCCACAGGCTGAGTTCCAAGCATAGCTCTGAGCTACGTGGAAGCAGAGGTCGGCAGTGACTTGGGCATATGACTGGGTGAAAGGGAATGAAGCCAACCTTCACCCCGGCACAAATCAAAGTTTTGAATGTGGTATGTTTAAGGACATGGCATTGAATAAAGCAAGACTCGTCCTACCAACTTGTGAGCTCAGCAAACTCCCGGTAACTAAGACAGAGTGGGAGAAAGACCAAGCACAGTGCAGGGTATCACCTGGGGGTAAGAAAGGAAGGGTCGCTGCAGTCCCGTTCACCGTTGCACATAGTCTCTGGGGACAGCTCTGCTTCACTGCCCTCACCGTAGTCCTCAAAATGCTCTTCTCCGCCAATCACCATCACAACAGCCTGGCCACACGAGCGCGACCTGCAGAGCACAGAGAAGTGACCCCATCAGGAGCGAACTAGGCCAAGTACAGGCCTCAGTCCTACTTCCCAAGAAGCCCCGCTAAAAACAAACAAACAGGAACAAGTGACATCAATCTTAACAACATGTTGCACCTAGCCCCAAACACAGGAAACGGCCCCTTTTTAAGGTGGTATTCCTTTCAGAAAAGGAAGACCCAGGCACTAGAACAACGGCCCCGTCTAGAAGCAGCCAGCAGGGTCAGAAAAGTCTGAACACTTTGATCCCGACCTTCAGTGTTAAGCAGGGCTGCCAGCTCAGTCTCGTACCATGAGACCGTCCCTGGTGGGCCAGGGTGAAGAGCACCTGCAGCAGCTGGTTTAAAAGTGCGGTGGGATGACGTGTGCTGTCATACTAGTTCCTCTTAACTGCAGATTATTTTCAGTGGTCAGCAAAAGTCCAAGATGTATGTATGTATGATGAATGGGTGTATTTTTGTATCAGTCACGGGGCTTGAACTCAAGGCCTAGGTGCTATCACTGAGCTTTTGTGCACAAGGATAGCACTCTACCACTCAAAGCACAGCTCTACTTTCGGCTTTTTGGTGGTTAACTGGAAATAAAAATCTCACAAAAATGCCAGCACTGGTGGCTCACGCCTATATTCCTAGCTACTCAGGAGGCTGAGATCTGAGGATCAAGATTCAAAGCCAGCCCGGACAGCAAAGTCCATGAGACCCTTATCTCCAATAAACCACTCAGAAAACTGGAAGTGGTGCTGTGGCTCAAGTGGTAGAGCACTCGCCTTGAGCCTTGAGCTGAAGAGCGCCTTGAGCCTTGAGCTGAAGAGCGCAGGGACAGTGCCCAGGCCCTGAATTCAAGCCCCATGACTGACCCCCCCCCTTCAAAAAAAAATCTCACAAAAAGCCAAGCACTGGTAGCTCACACCTGTAATCCTAGCTACTCAGAAGCCTAAGGGATCTAGGGATCATGGTTCAATGCTAACCCAGGCAGGAAAGTCTGTGAGACTCCAATACAATAAACTACTCAGAAAAAGCTAGAAGTGGCACTGGAGTGCTAGCCTTGAGCACAAAGAGACTCAGGGACACCACTCAGGACCTGAGTTCAAGCCCCAGGACCATCAAAAAAAAAATCTCACAGAAGGCCAGTGTTAGTGGTTCATGCTATAATCCTAGCTACTCAAGAGGTTGAGATCTGAGAATCACAGTCCAAAAGCCAGACTAGGCAGAAAAGTCTATTACCTCCAATTAACCACAAGAAAACTAGAAGTGGCTCTGTGGCTCAAAGCAGCAGAATGCTAGCCTTGAGCGAAAAAGCTCAGGTATAACACCTAAGCTCTGAGTTCAAGCCCCACAACGGACCAAAAAAAAACTTAAACACAGATCTTCCCTACAACACAGTCCTACCACTCCTAGGCATCTACTCAAAACATTAAGTCAGCATATGGCAAAGATACTTGCGCACCCACGTTCACCGCAGAACTATTCACAATGGCCAAGAGCCATTGTGGGCATCTGGAAAGAGCCCAGATGTGCTACGATACATGAGTGGCTAAATAAAATGTGGTATGTATACATAATGGAATTTTACTCACCCATTAGAAAAAGATTATGTCATTTAAAGAAAAATCTATGGACCTAGATAAAACCATGTTAAGTGAGATAAACCAAGCTCAGACACAAAGGGTACATGTTTTCTCTTATACATAGAAGTTGGATCTAAAATAAAACTTACACAGTTACATAATAATTTACACAGGACTCGAAGACTACAGGAGGATACCCTTAGTGGAGGAACACAAAGGCAAACTCTTCCTCACATTTGTTGTTGTTGTTCATGGGGCCTGAACTCTAGGCCTCAGCTCTTCAGCTCAAGGCGAGCACTCTTCTACTTGAGCCAGCACACCACTTCCAGCTTTTTCTGCTTATGTGGTGCTGAGGAATCGAACCCAGGGCCTCATGCATGCAAGGCAAGCACTCTTCCACTGAGCCAACTTCCCAGCCCCTCCTCCGAACACTTAAAATACTTTTTTTTTTTTTGGGTCCGGTCGTGGGGCCTGAACTCTGGGCCTGGGCGCTGTCCCTCAGCTCTTCAGCTCAAGGCTAGCGCTCTACCACTTGAGCCACAGCGCCACTTCTGGGTTTTTCTTTTTGCTTATGTGGTGCTGAGGAATCGAACCCAGGGCCTTGAGCATGCAAGGCAAGAGCTCTACCACTGAGCCACCTTCCCAGCCCCTTAAAATACTTTTATCAAAATGAATTCCAAGAAATAGAAACATGGTTTTTTTTTTTGGGTCCGGTCATGGGGCCTGAACTCTGGGCCTGGGCACTGTCCCTCAGCTCTTCAGCTCAAGGCTAGCGCTCTACCACTTGAGCCACAGCACCACTTCCAGCTTTTTTCTGTTTGCTTATGTGGTGCTGAGGAATCGAACCCAGGGCCTCATGCATGCAAAGCAAGCGCTCTACCACTGAGCCATCTTCCCAGCCCAACATGTTTTTTTTTGTTATTTTGGTCACTAGGAGTGGTGGTGTTTTTTGTTTTTTGTTTTTTTTTTTTCTTTTAGGGGGAAAAAAAGGAGCAGAAATGAAGGGAGGAAAGGTGAACAATCACGATCATGCTATTGAGTATAAGCTATGTGAAAAATGAGCGATGCAACTGTGCAGGGACAGGAGGGAGACACTGGGGAAAGCACACAGAAGGGTGACATTCCAAAAAGAAGTGTACGCATCGCCTGACTCATGAAGTGGCAGGCCCTCCGCACAACACCCGGGTAATAACAGTAAAATTACATTTAGAAAAGAGTGCACTGGGCTGGGCTGGGCTCGGTGGCAAAGCACTTCCTAGCAAGAGCAGTGTTCTGGGGTTGATTCCCAGTACCAAAAAAGAAAAGGCAAATACAAAAGTGTACAGGGCCCAAAGATACCATACTGAAGAACAAGCTGGAGGTCCTAGGCCAACATGAATCAGCTCAATGCTGAAATAAAGGAAACAGTGTATGGACCCAAGAATGGACAGAGAACAAAGAACATGCCCTCTCCTGCTACCACCATGACCCACGGACACCCCACACCCACCATGACCCACGGACACCCCCACACACCCACCATGACCCACAGACACCCACACACCCACCAGGACCCACGGACACCTCCACACACCCACCATGACCCACAGACACCCACACACCACCATAACCCACAGACACCCCCACACCCACCATGATCTAGACACCTCCATACACCACCATGACCCACAGACACCTCCACACACCCACCATGACCCACAGACACCCCGACACACCACCATGATCTAGAGACCTCCATACACCACCATGACCCACAGACACCCCCACACACCACCATGATCTAGACACCTCCATACACCACCATGACCCACAGACACCTCCACACACCACCACCATGACCCACGGACACCCACACACACCACCATGACCCACAGACACCCCCACACACCACCATGACCCACAGACACCCCCATACCACCATGACCCACAGACACCCCCACACACCCTGACCCACAGACACCCCCACACCACCATGACCCACAGACACCCACACACACCACCATGACCCACAGACACCTCCACATACCACCACCATGACCCACGGATACCCCACACCCACCATGACCCACAGATACCCCCACACCACCATGACCCACAGACACCTCCACACCCACCATGACCCACAGACACCCCCACACACCACCATGACCCACAGACACCCCCACACACCCACCATGACCCACAGACACCCACACACCACCATAACCCACAGACACCCCCACACACCCTGACCCACAGACACCCCCACACACCACCATGACCCACAGACACCCCCACACCCACCATGACCCACAGATACCCCCACACCACCATGACCCACAGACACCCCCACACACCCTGACCCACAGACACCCCCACACACCACCATGACCTACAGACACCTCCACACACCCACCATGATCTAGACACCTCCACACACCACCATGACCCACAGACACCCCCACACCACCATGACCCACAGACACCCCCACACACCCACCATGACCCACAGACACCTCCACACACCCACCATGACCCACGGACACCTCCACACACCCACCATGACCCACGGACACACCCACACCCACTATGACCCACAAACACTCACACACCCACCACGACCCACAGATACCCCCACACACCCACCATGACCCACAGACACCCCCACACACCCACCATGACCCACAGACACTCACACACCCACTACGACCCACGGACACCCCCACACCCACTATGACCCACAGATACCCCCACACACCCACCATGACCCACAGACACCCCCACACACCCACCATGGCCCACGAACACCTCCACACACTCACCAGGACCCACAGACACCTCCACACACCCACCATGACCCACAGACACCTCCACACACACCACCATAACCCACAGACACCCCCACACACCCACCATGACCCACAGACACCCAAACACAAGGACAAGTCTGTTAGACATCCATCTGGGAAAAAATAGCCTCTATATAACATCACACAGAAAAACCAGTTATGTGAATTGAGTTTGAAACTATTTTAAAGGGATTTCAGATACAAACATTTTTCCAATGAAATACAAAAGCACTACTAAGGGGCTGGGAAGGTGGCTCAGCCGTAGAGCGCTAGCCTTGAGCTGAAGAGCTGAGGGACAGCGCCCAGGCCCAGAGTTCAGGCCCCACGACCGACCAAAAAAAAAAGGCACTACCAATAAAAATAAACTACACAACAGTAAAAAATAAAAAACTAAAAATAAGGGTCTGGGAAGGTGGCTCAGTGGTAGAGTGCTTGCCTTGCATGCCTGAGGCCCTGGGTTCGATTCCTCAGCACCACATAAGCAAAAAGAAAAAAAAGCCGGAAGTGGTGCTGTGGCTCAAGTGGTAGAGCACTAGCCTTGAGCTGAAGAGCTGAGGGACAGCGCCCAGACCCAGAGTTCAGGCCCCACGACTGGACCCAAAAAAAAAAGACACTACAAAGTAAAAAGGAGACTTATAGAGTGTAATTAATACAACTCAACAAACCAGGGCAGGCTGAGCCCTGCCACAATCTGGTACTGTAGACAGCTGGGTTTTTGGATACACCCAGCCAGGTCCCTAGTGGTCTATGGCTGCTTCTACATCTCCACAGCGGAGCTGGGAGCTGGGAGCTGCCAGGAAGAAGAAGCAGAAGCAAGCATGCTACTCTCAATGAGATCCTGCTGTCTTCAGACCAGGGGGGAAAGCCATCCAGGGCAAGCAGTTAGACAAGAACAGATCATCTAGACGGGGTGCAACAAAGACATGAACGTGAGCATCATGTCCTCTAGCCCTGGCTTTAAGAACTAAGTTAACTAGTCAACAGGTAATATAGGTTAAACAAAGCAATTTGGAGGAAAAAGGGGAATAAGAAAGAGAGGAGAGAAAAGATGCAAAATAGAATGAATGCCTAAGCTTAGTACTTACTGCTTTGCAATACTATTCAGCCCCATCTGAATGTAAAAACAGAAACAGGAACTTAATTCAGTTTGTACTGTACTGTACTGTAAAAGGAATCTTAGGGACTGAAAAGAGTTAACGCAAATTCCAAATCATACTAGGTATTCTTTGGTCATGGAAGGTTTGTAATGGTCCTCCAAAATGTCAAGTAAACCCATTATTTTCCTTTCTAAAAAAAAAATGAACTATGTTGACAAAACCCAGAAGACTAAGTTGGTCTTATAACTTCTATAAACCTACTGGCATTTCCCAGGTGCAACATTAAAACCTGAGTTTTCTGCTGTCCAGAGGAGTATTTGTTTCCTATGGGGAGATCAGCTGGAAGAGAAACCACTTACACATCTGCCTCCTCTCTGCAGGGCCTATAGCTCCGTGCAGCTAGTTCTCACTGGCATTTTCCAGGAGACTCAAGATCGAGGGCCTTTTCCTAGTTGATTGCACTATTTAAAAATTTTTTTTGTGGTGCTGGGAAGGTGGCTCAGTGGTAGAGCGCTTGCCTTGCATGTATAAGGCCCTGGGTTCGATTCCCCGGCACCACATAAACAGAAAAAGCCGGAAGTGGGGCTGAGGCTCAAGTGGTAGAGCGCTGGTCTACAGCTGAAGAGCTGGCGGACAGCGCCCAGGCCAAGAGTTCACGCTCCACAACCGACAGAAAAAAAAAAAGGGAAAATTTTTATGCTGGTCCTGGGACTTGCACTCATGACCTGAGCCTTTTTTGCTCAAGGGTAGTGCTCTACCTCTTGGGCCACAGTTTCACTTCTGGCTTGTTGGTGGTTACCTGGAGATAAGACTCTCACAGACTTTCCTGCCCAGGCTGGTTTCCAACTTCCATCCTCAGATCTCAGCTTCCTGAGGAGTTAGAATTACAGGTGTGGGCCACTGCCTTTGAGCTTTTCTTTGGTGAAGTGCCTGTCCAGAGACCACGCAGGCAGGTTCAGTTCTGCACGCAGGTAGCAGGTACAACTCGACAAGGGGATAAGAAGCAAGACAGACACAATGTAGCCGAGATCCACCCACTACCCCAGAGGGTCTCCTCCAGGATGCCCATGGTGGGGAGGGCTGCAGGTACCGACCTTCCCGGGAGCAGCAGCAGCGCCCCGTGGCCCGGCTCCTCCGTGGTGTCCAGGCACTCCGAGGGCACGGCCGAGCCGCCCGCGCTGTCGGCGTCCCCCTCAGGCTGCAGCTCAGGGTGTACCAGGGTGCTGGTGTCCTCGTCTGTGAAGGTCTCACACTCGCTGTAGGTGCTCTCAGAGCCCATATATGCGCTGTCCGTCACCTCGTTGGCCTGAGAGAGACCACCAGTCATCCACAAAGACCACACTACAGTGGGGGCATGGCTCCAGCAGAGGTCCACCCCCGGAGACGGCAGTGTTGGCTCTATGGTGGTAGAGCACTTGCTTAGCAAGCATGAAGGCCCCCAGTTCAAATCCTGAGTACCATCAGAAAAAGAGGAAATCAAAATAGGATCCTATCCACATTTCTATTTTTTATTTTTTCTAATTTTTGTGCTTGTACTGGGGCTTGAACTCAGGGCTCATACTCTCATTTGCCCTTTCTGCACAAGGCTAGCATGCCACCACCTGAGCTACAGCTTCACTTCTTTTCTCTGTTTTTATTTTTTTCTAACTACATTTCTATTTTTTTTGTTTTATTTTGTTTTTGGGTCCGGTCGTGGGGCCTGAACTCTGGGCCTGGGTGCTGTCCCTCAGCTCTTCAGCTCAAGGCTAGCGCTCTACCACTTGAGCCATAGCGCCACTTCCGGCTTTTTTCTTTTTGCTTATGTGGTGCTGAGGAATCGAACCCAGGGCCTCAGGCATGCAAGGCAAGCGCTCTACCACTCAGCCACCTTCCCAGTCCCCCATGATATAGGTACATGTATAAAACCAAACAAAAATATGTGGAGGGCTGGGAAGGTGGCTCAGTGGTAGAGCGCTTGCCTTGCATGCATGAGGCCCTGGGTTCGATTCCCCAGCACCACATAAGCAAAAAGAAAAAAGCCGGAAGTGGCGCTATGGCTCAAGTGGTAGAGCGGCAGCCTTGAGGTGAAGAGCTGAGGGACAGCGCCCAGGCCCAGAGTTCAGGCCCCACGACCGGACCCAAAAAAAAAAAAAAAAAATTAAAAAAAATATGTGGAAACCAGGAGCCTATGGCTCATGCCAGTAATCCTAGATACTCAAGAGGCTGAGATCTGACTATAGTCCCAAGCCAGCCTGGGCAGGAAAGTCTGTGAGACTCTTATCTCCAATAAACTTCTCACAAAAAGCTGGAAGTAGCACTGTGGCAGAAGTGGTAGAATGCTAGACTTGAGCAAAAGAAGCTCAGAGACAGTACCCTGAACCAGCAAAAAAAGAAAATAAATAAAAACTTTTAAAAATGAGCTGAGCATGGTGGCACCTACCTATAATTCCAGCACTCAGGAGGTATGAGGCTGAAATCACAACTCTGAAGTCAGTCTACATAGCAAATTTCAGGCCAGGCTAGGAAACTCTCTCAACACATAAATACAGAATTATTTTTAAAATCAGCTAAATAAATATGCCTAAAAACTGGAAAGCACCCTAACATCAGAAATAATCCTAGCAGACTGGGTACTGGTAGCTCCCACTGGTCACTCTAGCTACTTAGGAGGCTGAGATCTGAGGATCATGGTTCAAAGCCAGCCTGGGCAGGAAAGTCTGTGAGATTCTTTTTTTTTTTTTGGGGGGTCCGGTTGTGGGGCCTGAACTCTGGGCCTGGGCACTGTCCCTCAGCTCTTGAGTTCAAGGCAGGGCTCTACCACTTGATCCACAGCGCCACTTCCGGCTTTTTTCTTTTTGTTTATGTGGTACTGAGGAATTGAATCCAGGGCCTCATGCATGCAAGGCAAGCGCTCTACCACTGAGCCACCTTCCCAGCCCCTGTGAGATTCTTATCTCCATTTAACTACCAGAAAACCAGAAGTGGTCCTGTGGCTCAAAGTGATAGAGTACTAGCCTGAGCAAAAGAGCTCAAAGATAGCTCCCAGGCCCTGAGTTCAAGCTCCATAACTGACAAGAAAAAAGAAAAGAAAAGAAAAGAAAAGAAATAATCCTAGCAAAAAAATTTACAATAGCCTATAAATTCAGCCTATTGCTTTGAAATTCAAAATAAAGGTCTAACTACTAAATCAGTCAGTTATCGAGCCAATTTTGTCAACTAGCTAAATGTCTACCTTCCCAACAAACGTTTTGTTCTTACTCTCGTTTAAGAACAAAGCACCTAGCATAGGGTCTAATATGTCACCATAGACAGACACTTCTGGACTATACAGTAATGTTTGCAGAGCATAGATCTAAAGAATCATTGAACAGAACATTTTTCTATTTAGGAAAAGTAGGCAACATCGCATGCTTATAAGATTCTATGGCTAACGATTTACAAACAAGTAAGATTTCAGAGAAGTCACACGTCTTGCAGGAGAAATGTGCCCTTTGCCCTCTGGGTCTGCTATGCAGACTACGAGGACATCTTGTGCCACTTGAGCTTCCAAGACTCATTTGAAGAGACTCAGACCTGTGGAACATAGCTGAAGAGAAACTAGCTCTACCCGGGCCCACCAGCCATATGACCTAAGGTATGTAGCTCAACCCTAGAGCCTCATCTACAAATGAAGCTAGAAATCCAACCTCCCAGGAGAGCCCCTCATGCAAGCAGGGGATGGCACAGGCAGGTGCTTTTCAGGGCACTGGAACAGGACACATGTGACTGGAAAATCCCCGCCGGCCATGAAGAAGTCAGAAGTCAGGAGAAGTTGGAACAACATGGACTGCAATATTCTGAGTATCTGATCATGTCCCTCAGATTTCCAAATGAAAGCTCAAATGTTACCTAGAATCTATAAAATTCACAAGAACTAATTTCTAATTCACAGAAAGCATCTACTTCAAAATCTGAGGCGAGGGACCCATCTGGGCTCTCTAAGTGGAGAATCTTACTACTCTCTTTCACGGCTTTTCACTTTCAAATAAACATATTCTGTTTATAAAATATCAATGTGAAAAAATCTGAAATTAACAAATATACACAAGAGGTCCAGATCCAATGTTATCTTTCACCCTGGCTGGCGGTCTCTCCTGAGTAAGATGGGCCAGGACACACACCAGGGCAGGGCCAGCTCTGGTCTACTTGTGGAAGACTGAGCCAGAGAGACAAGAAAAACATGCAGATCAGGCATCTATGTGGGGCTAGGATGAAGCCAGCAGCAGGACACAGGACTCAGTGTGGGCTTCTAATGTTATGTAAGAAGAGGCTGCTAACAACCCTAACAGCACTGCACACTCCCACGGAAATGTGCTGCCAGAAAGTTGTAGTTACAAACTCACCCGGGGGCATAAGAAAATCCTCCATAGACTCTAAAGGAGGATCTTGAGTTCAAGGCCAGCTTGGGCAAAAGCAGTAAAATCCTGTTTCAAAAACAAAGATACAAGCCAAGGGCCAGTGGCTCATGCCTATAATCCTAGCTACTCAGGAGGCTGAGATCAGAGGATCAAGGTTCAAAGCCAACCTGAGCAGCAATCTCCAAAGAACCACCAGAAAACCGGAAGTGGCACTGTGGCTCAAGTGGTAGAACACTTGCCTTGAGCTGAAGAGCTCAAGGCCCAGAGTTTAAGCCCCGCCACCAACAAAAAAACAACCAAACAAAAAAACCCACAAAGATACAGCTAGTGTTAATGCCAGTGGCCCACACTAGTAATCTCTTCAATACTTGGGAGGCTGATTGTGCTGGACCAAAAGTTCCAGGTACAGCTGAATGCAACTCTAATCCAGTGTAAGAGAAAGGTAAAAAGGAAGATTGTGATTTACTCCCAACAGGTGTAAATGTAAAACATATTCAGCTGGGTGCCACTGGCTCACGTCTGTAATCCTAGCTACTCAGGAGGCTGAGATCTGAGGAACAAGGTTCAAAGCCAGCATGGGCACAAAAGTCCCTGAGACTCTTATCTCCAATAACCTACTCAGAACCAGCTGGAAGTGGTGCTGTGGCTCAAGTGGTAGAGCGCTAGCCTTGAGCAAAAGAAGCTCAGGGTCAGAGCCCAGGCCTAGAGTTCAAGCCCCAGGCCCAAGGGGGGAAAAAAAAAAAGAATTATTCAGAAAAAATAAAATGGTTGGTGGCATTGCTCAGATGGTACAATACTTGTCTAACTAGTACAAGGACCTACCTGCCTAATACTGCCAAACCCACTACTGCCAAAAGAAAAGAAAAAAATCCTAAAACAAAAAGAAACAACACTGCCCCCAGTACACAGAACAGCCACATGGAGATTCTTCCAGCACTTAATTCTAGAATAACGGGAGCAGACGGTGCCGAAGTGCTAGACCCTCACCAGCAGAGCAGTGAGGTCTTCTTCAAAGACCTTAGAGCAGACTAACAAAACTTGGACCCTGGGCTGGAAAGGCGGTTCAGTGGTAGAGTGCTTGCCTAGCATGCATGAAGACCTGGAATTGATTCCCCAGTACCACATACACAGAAAAATTTGGAAGTGGTACTATGGCTCAAGTGGTAGAGTGCTAGCCTTGAGCAAAAGCAGCTCAGGGACAGTGCCCAGGTCCTGAGTTCAAGCCCCAGCCCCAGGACTGGCAAAAAAAAAAAAAAAAAAAACACCACCCTAGCCCCAAAGCATTGTCAATCACCTTACTTATGGTAGACCTCCACTGCTTCTCCTTGGCCATATAGACTCTGTCTTTCCAAAAACAGCTCAAGCTTTTATAGTAACAAACCAGCCTTTTCATTCCCTCAAGCACAGCTCACACAGCCCAGCAGAGTGCTTTTCTTCCCAAGAAGGAAGGAACTCTACACTAGGGTCTGCTCAACCTGTGTGAAAGGTAGTGTCCTTGTGGGTGAAGTAGCCCTGGAGCTTAGGGCTACTCAGGGTGGGATTAACACTCCTCTAACAGGAGAGGCAAATGTGGTGCCTATACAACTCCCACTGAAAGGAACAGGGAGGGTGTCCCAGCCACATGACTACCTGGGACAGATGCAGAAGGCAGCTGCTGGTCCTACCTTCGACTCCTCATTTCTAAAGAGCTGGCCAGTGGTCTCTCCTGATCTGCTGCCAGGTCTCACTGAGGTGAATACAATTTGCACTTACCCTTTAGCCGCTCCAAACTCTAAACAAACAGGGTCGTGGAAGTCCTGTCCGTTAGCACTCACGCACTCCCTGGTGAGTATAGGGCAGTAAAAAGCCCCTGCTCAAAACCACACATCTCCACGTTGCTCACTCCTTGTAATTTATTGGACACAACCACAAAGACAGAAACTCTGCTAGAGAGCCCCAACCAGTGAAGACGGTATGCACTCAAGTGACAGCATGCTGCCTGCCCTCTTCTGAGCTCATCTGGCTGCCTACTATCGAGCACAACATTCTACATAAATGCTAGTGCGCCAATAAAATTTGTTTTCCTAGGCTCTTTCAAGAGAGGTACAAATTACCCTGGAGCCTGGTATTCAGCCACCGTCCACCCATTACAATTCAAAAACAGTACTCAGCAGCCTTACCCTCAGGTTATATCTGCCAGCCACCCAGAACCCAGCTGTGCCCAAAAGCTGAATCTACGTGACCAATTGGCAAAAATTTTACTAATTAACACCATTCAGATGAACTCGTCAATCAAAACTCATTTAGAGCCCTTGATCGTGTGATTAAATCGCCAGTGGACAGCAAGGCCCATGGCTGGATCCAGGGGTGGCCAGCACTGCCTGATGGCCTCCCCCGCCCAGAGGACGGTGCTTTTGTCCCCAAACCTCTCATCCAGGGAAATCAATCCTGAGCACGCGTGCCTTCACGTCTCCTCTTACCCTCTGACGCCAACGGAGCGCCCTCACAGGCTGGACCACACAAAGGCCCCGGAGAGCACGCTCTGCCGCCAAGACGGCCTCCCTACTTACTGCATACCCGAGCTGACCAGGTGCTGGCTTCTCCCGGCTGACTTACCTCCTATCTGTTCATTGCCTTCCTATTTGTTGGTCACGCTGAGGTTTCTATAAAATCCATGTGACCATCTGAAGGTTAAGCACTGCCTGGGAGAAAGTTTAACTTGCTCCCAGACATGCTCTGTTAGGCCTCCCACTGGTGATGGTCAGGGAAGGAGAGGCAAAGTTCAGGAAGTGTCCTTCCTGGCCTTAATAAACAGCGAGGGCTCTAAACAGAGCAGCTTTGTTTTACATTTTATAATCTTTCTGATTACATTTTTTTACAAAAGACACATTTCTCATCAGTCTTTTCTCCAAACCCCAGAAGTGGGAGGAGCAGAGGCACACTGTCTTATGCTGGTCTGTTCATTCTGTGACTTCCCTACTACCTTCCAGCAATGCTGACAAGCAGGCTCTGTCCCAACCCCTTGGCAGCTGCCCAGAATCTCAGCATTTTTTTTTTTTTTTGGGAGGGGGTCCGGTCATGGGGCCTGAACTCTGGGCCTGGGCACCGTCCCTCAGCTCTTCAGCTCAAGGCTAGCGCTCTACCACTTGAGCCACAGCACCACTTCTGGCTTTTTTCTTTTTTGCTTATGTGGTGCTGAGGAATGGAACCCAGGGCCTCAGGCATGCAAGGCAAGTGCTCTACCACTGAGCCACCTTCCCAGCCCTCTCAGGATTCTTAAATAAATGGTGAGTTTTCTTCTCCCCACCTGTGAGAGTCAGCAGCCGACTTTAACCCAGTCCCCCAACTCTTCCCCTTCTTACTGAGACACCGTTAGCAACTCACCCCTGTGAAGAGCTATAAGCACGAAGTTCTCGCTTTGAGCCATAAAGCTTAGCAGTAACTGTTCACCCACATGGCCACCACAACACCAGGCTCAAACAATGGCGTTCCCAGCCAGAAAACATAGGTGTGACAGGAACCACTTTCAGAAAATCAACAAAGGGCCATTTTTCTTTCAAGATCATTGGTGAAAGGGCTCCAAAAAGTCTCTTAATGGAATAGTCTCCACTCATAAGAGGGCTAGACCTCCTAAAATTACATGGCATGAACAGTTTGCTTTTCTTCTTTTTTTTTATAAAGCTATCTCTCTCTAAGTATCGAGTATCTAGTTCCACTTTCCTGAGCATACCATCTAAAAGCTTAAAATGGAAGACAGAGAAGAAACAAATTCATGTGAACAAGAGAACCAGTGTGGAAAGGACGTATCCTGTGAGAATGACCCCATGGAGAGGCAAACCATAAACTCAGGAGAAGACTGCCAACTACCAGCGGCTTGCAGGCTGAGTGGGGGGGGGGGGGGGGGGGGGGGATCATGCTCTCTCAGGCCGTCATGGATACACACACCCAAGCCAGAGGAATCTCCGAGGAAGCTGAGGATTCCAGTCAATGTTCAACACCACCATCCAGGGTCAATGGCTGGTACCCTTCATCTACAGATACAAATGCTCATCATGGAGGTAGTAGGATGGGGTATATGATGACCTTCCGACATTGTTACTGTGAAGTATATTTTTTCCAAACATAAAAAGAGATGTTGCCAGGCACTGGTGGCTCACGCCTGAGATCTGAGGATCACGGTTCAAAGCCAGACTGGGCAGGAAAGTCCATGAGATTCTTATCTCCAACTAACCACCACAAAACCAGAAGTGGTGCTGTGGCTCAAGTGGTAGAGCGCTCACTTTGAGATGAAGAGCTGAGGGACAGCATCCAGGCCCAGAGTTCAAGCCCCATGACCGACAAAAAAGGAAAGAGAAAAAGATCTAATCATTGGTTCCTGGGTGTAGTTAAGAGTGGCCTGTCTTCTTCAGCTATGACTTTTTTCCTAACTATGGTGACAAGGACCCACAATTAGAGAAGCTATACCATGACAACTCCCACTGTATCTGCGAGCAGGAAGCAAGTATTAGTCAAATGTCCCCAAAGACAGAAAGCAATTTCGAAGTTCATGAAAGGGCTGGGAATGTGGCTAGTGGTAGAGTGCTTGCCTAGCAAGCATGAAGCCCTGAGTTTGATTCCTCAGCACCACATACACAGAAAAGCCAGAAGTAGTGCTGTGGCTCAAGACTCAAGCCTTGAGCAAAAGAAGCTCAGAAACAGTTCCCAGGCCATGAGTTCAAGCCCCAGGACTAGGAAAAAAAAAAAAAGTCATGAAAGGGAACCTTCAGTCTTCTGTCTGTTTGAACCTGGCACACCATGGCAGCAGCATCATACTGCGCCTAACTGTCCATCAACCTCTGCACAACATGCGCCAGGGAAGGCTGCCGAGAAAACAAGGAGCAAGCAGCCTTACACCCCGTCCCCAGACAGGCCCCCAGGAGCAGTAGCCTGTGGGGAGCAGAAGCAGACACCCACTGGTCCATCCCAGTCAAAACACCTCAAGGCCCAGAGCCTGTACCTCAGAGACCCTCGGCAACCTACAGAAGCAGGAGGGTGCGGGGCCTTCCCGCAGGCTGTCTTTGAGGATTCAACTGCAGCATCTCAGGAAGCGGATTGCAGCAGAAAGGAAAAGACGAAGTTCAGACGTGAGGGAAAGCACTTGCCTCATAGGTGACAAAGTCGTCAAACTCGTCCACACAGGCAGTGGGACCCTCATCCTGGGCAGGCTCCACACTGTACAGCTGGCCATCGGGATCTGCAGAGAGAAGACCCAGTGTTCAGCAGACCACCAGAGCTGTCCAGACAGGCTGAGGACGAAGATGTAGGTTGAACTGAGACTCCCTGGGAAGACACTCAGAGCTAAGCGCGGTGGGAGATGTGAAGGCCTGGCAGTTGCTCTAGGCAGGGAGTGAGCACACCAGGACAGGAGCAAGAAATTCAAGGGAAGAAACCAGAGGGTAAGACTCGAAGGCCACATCTTCTAGAGAGCATTATAAAATATAAAGAGGAAGACAGAAATCCCTAACAACTCCAAAGCTCTAGCCACTATGGTAGGATTACAAGCATGAGCCATCAGTGTCCAGCTGGGCCGTCTCAAAAAAAAAAAAAAAAAAAAAAAAAGCCAGGTGCCAGTGGTTTACGCCTATAATCCTAGCTAATCAGGAGGCTGATATCTGAGGATCACCATTCAAAACCACCCAGGCAGGAAAAGTGACTTTTTTGGGTCAATTGTGGGGCTTGAACTCAGGGCCTGTGTGCTGTGTCTAAGCCTCTTTACGTTCAAGGCTAGCGCTCTACTGCTTTAACCACAGTGCTACTTGGTTTTTTGTGTGGTTAATTGGAGATAAGAGTCTCTTGAGGACTTTTCTACCAAGACTGGCTTCAAACTGCGATCCTCAGATCTCAGTCTCCTGAGTAGCTAGGATTATCCGCGCCCTCCTCCCCCGCTCCCCGCGCGAGTTCTGGAGCTTGAACTCAGGGCCTGGGTGCTGTCCCTGAGCCTTGTGCTCAAGGCTGGCTCTCTACTACTTGAGCCACAGTGCCACTTCCATCTGTGAAACTCTTTCTCCAATTAACCACAAAAAGACAGAAATGGAGCTGTGGCTCAAGTGTAGAGCACTAGCATTGAGCAAAAGAGCTCGGCCAGCACCTAGGCCTGGAATTCAAGCCCCAGTACTGGTACAAACAAACAAGCAAACAAATACAGGTCACTAACCTGAGTGACCTCACCATTATAATCCTAGCTGTCCAGGAGGATGAGATCTATGAACTGTGATTTGAAGCCAATCCAGGCAGACAAACCAGAGATTCTTTTTTTTTGTTTGTTTTGTTTTTGTTTTTTTTGTTTTTTTGGGGGGGTCCAGTCGTGGGGCCTGAACTCTGGGCCTGGGCGCTGTCCCTCAGCTCTTCAGCTCAAGGCTAGCACTCTACCACTTGAGCCACAGCGCCACTTCCGGCTTTTTTCTTTTTGCTTATGTGGTGCTGAGGAATCGAACCCAGGTCCTCAGGCATGCAAGGCAAGCGCTCTACCACTGAGCCACCTTCCCAGCCCAAACTAGAGACTCTTCTCTCCAATTAACCAGCAAAAATCTGGAAGTAAAGGCATGGTTCAAGTGGTAGAACACCAGCCATGAGAAACAAGCCAATGAGGAGTTAAGAGACCCGAGTTCAAGCCCTAGCATCAGTTGGTACATGTGCACATGCACATAAAATCCAATCCCAAAACAAGCAAACTTTCAAGTCAGGCTGCTATTCTGTGGCTTGGTGGTAGAGCACGTGCTTGGCATGTACAGGGTCCTGTGTTCAATCTCTAGCACCACAAAAATTAAATACATAAACATCAAGATTTGAAAAGAACCTATGCACCAAATGACTGCCAAGGAGCAAAACCTCTCATGTCTGAGGAGGTGTGTACAGAATGAAGTAACACTGCACAACACTGTCCAGGCAAAGGAAACAAGGTGAGTTGTCCTTTTCCTTAGAAAAAAAAAGTTATGGGGATTGAACCAATAGTCTTGCACATTCAGGGCAAGCAATCTACCACTAAAATACATCCCCAGCACAGACTCCCTTTTGCTGTACTGGGGGGGTTTGAACTCAGGGTCTCAAACTTATTAGGCAGACATTCTATTGCTGACCTATATCTCCAAACATCTTTTTACTATATTTTTTCTTTAAACAAAGGGGAGGGGGGCTTAGGAAGGTGGCTTAGTGGTAGAGCGCTTGCCTTGCATGCATAAGGCCCTAGGTTTGATTCCTCATCACCACATAAGCAGAAAAAGCTGGAAGTGGCGCTGTGGCTCAAGTGGTAGAGCGTTAGCCTTTCACTAAAGAGCTGAGGGACAGTGTCCAGGCCCAGAGTTCAGGCCCCACGACAGACAAAAAAAAAAAAAAAAAAGACTGAACTTGAAGGTAACATCTCTTCACATGGACAGACTAAATTCTGACTGGGTGATAATGCTGTCACTTCTCAAACACTCCAAGCCTGGAACATCTGTCATCTCCCTCGGTGGGAACAGCATCGATCTCCACAGCCTCTATAATGCTGGGCCATCAGCACACACCAAGGGCGGGGCATCAGTGACACCTAAGTGACGCTGTGTTCCCAGCAGCCCCTTATTCATGCACTTACTTGAAATACACAGTACTTACAGAATTTGTTATTTATTGAATATCTTAAATGTAACCAATCTAATGTGAGCCACTTAATTTAAAAAGCCCAAGTAGGGGCTGATAAATATGGCTCAGTGGTAGAGTGCTTCCCTAGCATGCATGAAGCCGTGGGTTCGATTCCTCAGTACCACATACACAGAAAAAGCTGGTAAGTGGTTCTGTGGCTCAAGGACAGAGTGCTAGCCTTGAGCAAAAGAAATTCAGGGACAGTGCCCAAGCCCTGAGTTCAATCCCAGGATTGGCCAAAAAAAAAGCACAAGTAGTAGCCAGGATAGGCAGACAAATCTGAGACACTTTTGTTTTTTCCCCTGGTGCTTGAACTCAGGGCCTGGGCACTGTCTCTGAGCCTCTTCGTGCTCAAAGCTAGTGCTCTACCACTTGAGGCACAGTTCCACTTCCGGCTTTTGAGTAGTTCATTGGAGACAGGAGTCTCACAGGGACTTTTCTGCAGTTTCCAACCAGGATCCTTGGATCACAATCTCCTGAGTAACTAGGATTACAGGCGTGAGCCACGGGTGCCTGGCTTCAAATTTGTAATAACTGTGTTTCTACATATTCTTGTGTATGGCTCCACATCTCTAGAGGCTAATACATGCTATTGGATGGTCATTAGTTCATTTTTGAGTGATACTGCACTTTATGCATATCCCAGTTTATTTGCCTGCTTATGAAAGTGTAGGTTGACTATAGTATGCTGTTTTGAATAAAACTGTTATGAACAATTGTGTATAACTATTTATGTGGACATCTTTTTATTTCTCTTGGGTAAATAAGAATGAAACAACTAAGTTGTATGATAAGTGTTTAACTTGACAAGAAACTGCAGAATAGCAACTTTTGAAGACTAAGTCAAATAGAGACCTTCCCTAGACAACTCCCGGGAAAACCACTTTGGAAATGTCATCACTGGCTTCCTTCAGCTGGGCCACCAGAGGCCAGAGAAGATTCCTAGTGTAATCTGGACCTCATGGGGAGAATACTGTCTTGTCACAGCAGGTTCCAAAGGTCTTCTCCACCAGACCTGGGTAACTGGAGAGAAGACATTGGGAAGTGAGAATGAACATCCAAGGAAATGCATTCACAGGGTACCCAGGGCACCAAGATACCTAGACTGATGTCTAGACTTCTTTCAACTTAAACTGAATGATTTGATAGCTGCACAAATTCAAAAATGTATGCATGTCATAATTCAACATAGCTCTCCTCTGTGGCTTTAAGGATCATGGGTTTCTTGCACAGCTAACTGTGGTGTTCGGAATGTGGCAGAGCATTTGAGTCATGTGAACAGTGGCCTGGAGTGAAGGATCTCAAGTGCAGCCTATCAGGAAGGGCTGCCACCACACTCCACCTCCACATAAGCTGCTGTCCTGCCGTAGGAGCCTGGGCAGGAGTGCTTCTCCTAACGCAGACTAGGCACTACCATGGACAGACATCTTTTGGACTGGATTCTGGACCCAAAGCAGACTCTTCCCAGGGTGGTCAACTGAGCCCCAGTTTTTTAGAGGGCTAGATTGTCCTACCAGTTTTTCCACTGTCAGATGTTAACAGGTTTGTGTTTCTAAAACAAACAATCTGAAACTTTTAAAACGCAGTCAAGCATATTGACATGTGGATGTCTACTCAGACTGTGAAAGTAGGTAACAATCGAACAGCTCTGCTTCATGTGGCACTCAGAGAGAAGACATGAACGTACCTGGTATGTTCACATTCCTGACAGGAGCTAAGCATGAATCTTTTATCAGTCTTCTCTGTAAGAACTATAACAATTTTCCACTAAATGGAATTTTTTGTGCATTTATCTTGTCCTTTCGGAGTTCAGGAGTACCTCAGCTCTGTGAGCTACAGCCATGGCCTATTTGGAACAGCTCTGCTTCATCCTATTCCTGAAATAGGACCTATGACTATGACAGAAAAAATTCTCTTTGCACTTTTCTGCAAACTGGGTCAAGACTTCATGCTTCTTACTATGCCACTCCCTAATGCCAACGAAGTCTGACACGGAAGACAGGCTGCTTGCAGTTACAATGGCACACTGCAGGTAAGACCTAAAAGAAAACCCAGTGCAAATGTAGCTCAGGCCGGGCGCCAGTGGCTCACACCTATAACCCTAGCCACTCAGGAGCCTGAGAACTGATGCTTGCAGCCCAAAATCACCCTCAGCACCCTTGAAACTCTTATGTCCAATTAACCACCAAAAAGCTGAAAGTGGAGCTGAGGCTAAAGTTAGAATGTTAGCCTTGACAAAAAAACTCATGGGCAGCAAGTGCCCAGCCCCTGAGTTCAAGCCACAAGACTGGCACAAAAAAAAAAAAAGCTGGGGCCGGGAAGGTGGCTCAGTGGTAGAGCGCTTGCCTGGCATGCATGAGGCCCTGGGTTCCATTCCACAGTACCACATACACAGAAAAATGCTCAGTGGCACTGTAGCTCAAATGGTAGAGTTCTAGCCTCAAGCAGAAAAAACTCAGGGACAGAGTCCAGGCCCTGAGTTCAAGCCCCAGAACTGAAAAAAAGAAAGAAAGAAAGAAAGAAAAAAGGTTTCTTTTGCTTTCTTCTAAGTGCTGTGAAATAATTTCAAAATCATCTTTCTTTCATCCTACTTTTCACTCTTCCTTCCTAATGAAATGTAAAACCAGAAAAGTAGGCTGGGAAGGTGGCTCACTGGTAGAGTGCTTGCCTAGCATGCATGAAGCCCTGGGTTCGATTCCTCAGTACCACATACACAGAAAAAGCTAGAAGTGGTGCTGTGGCTCAAATGGTAGAGTGTTAGCCTTGAGCTAAAGAAGCTCAGGGACAGTGCCAAGGCCCTGAGTTCAAGCTGCAGGACTGGCAAAAAAAAAAAAATCGTTTCTAAAAACAGAAAAGTAAAGTCACTGCCCTCAGCAACAGCAGGAGAATATCCAATATCCACAGCAGGTCCATTGTCACTTTATTCGAAAGAATATACAGGCTATGTCACGGTCCTGGTGAAGGCTAGCACTGGAGCCACGGTCCTGGTGAATGAAGGCTAGCACTGGAGCCACGGTCCTGGTGAATGAAGGCTAGCACTGGAGCCACGGTCCTGGTGAATGAAGGCTAGCACTGGAGCCATGGTCCTGCTGAAGGCTAGCACTGGAGCCATGGTCCTGGTGAAGGCTAGCACTGGAGCCACGGTCCTGGTGAATGAAGGCTAGCACTGGAGCCACGGTCCTGGTGAAGGCTAGCACTGGAGCCACGGTCCTGGTGAATGAAGGCTAGCACTGGAGCCATGGTCCTGCTGAAGGCTAGCACTGGAGCCACGGTCCTGGTGAAGGCTAGCACTGGAGCCACGGTCCTGGTGAATGAAGGCTAGCACTGGAGCCACGGTCCTGGTGAATGAAGGCTAGCACTGGAGCCACGGTCCTGGTGAATGAAGGCTAGCACTGGAGCCATGGTCCTGGTGAATGAAGGCTAGCACTGGAGCCATGGTCCTGCTGAAGGCTAGCACTGGAGCCACGGTCCTGGTGAATGAAGGCTAGCACTGGAGCCATGGTCCTGCTGAATGAAGGCTAGCACTGGAGCCACGGTCCTGGTGAATGAAGGCTAGCACTGGAGCCATGGTCCTGGCAGGCTAGCACTGGAGCCATAGTCCTGGTGAATGAAGGCTAGCACTGGAGCCACGGTCCTGCTGAATGAAGGCTAGCACTGGAGCCACGGTCCTGGTGAATGAAGGCTAGCACTGGAGCCACGGTCCTGGTGAATGAAGGCTAGCACTGGAGCCACGGTCCTGGTGAAGGCTAGCACTGGAGCCACGGTCCTGCTGAATGAAGGCTAGCACTGGAGCCATGGTCCTGCTGAAGGCTAGCACTGGAGCCACGGTCCTGGTGAATGAAGGCTAGCACTGGAGCCATGGTCCTGCTGAAGGCTAGCACTGGAGCCATAGTCCTGGCAGGCTAGCACTGGAGCCACGGTCCTGGTGAATGAAGGCTAGCACTGGAGCCATGGTCCTGCTGAAGGCTAGCACTGGAGCCACGGTCCTGGTGAAGGCTAGCACTGGAGCCACGGTCCTGGTGAATGAAGGCTAGCACTGGAGCCACGGTCCTGGTGAAGGCTAGCACTGGAGCCACGGTCCTGCTGAAGGCTAGCACTGAGGTTGGGTCCTGGCAGGCTAGCACTGGGGTTGGGTCCCCCCCATCACACAGTCATCCCAAGAGCACTCTGCTGGGCTCGATTCACAGACCTGTGCTCCCATAGGCCAAATCCTCTCACGGTGCCATTAGATCGACTGTGTCTTGGCTACCCACACATCGATCTTCTGACCACACACACACAACACTACCGCTTCTCCGCCCTCCCCCAACTCCTATCTCACTGTCTGTAGTCTGTCCCCCACTAGAAGGCCAGCCCCCAGGGGCAGGGATTGGCTCTTCTTGGTCTCTCCCCAGAGCTTGCACAGTCGAGCCCAACAGGACCCCTACTGACAGTCCCCACAAGTCTCAGCTGGAGCCACCTCCACTAGTTCCCATCATCACAGACCTGCTCCCCAGGGGTCCTGCAGGAGGGCAGACCGCCCGCTGCCCAGGCTGGACCCCTCTCAGTCCCCATGCCCATGGCCCCTCCCTTTCTTTGGTCCACCAGCAGACCATCCTTCAAGCACACAGGTCTGCTCAACGGAAGGAGGGGGTGTCTCCTATGATGCTCTTGCACCCCTCAACATGGTATCAGGCAGAGACACAGACCTGAGATGCTCTTGCTGCTAAAGAAGCACAGTCCCACTCTCTGAATCCCAGCAGGGGGGCTGGGAAGGTGGCTCAGTGGTAGAGTGCTTTCCTGGAATGCATGAAGCCCTGGGTTTGATTCCTCAGTACCACATACACAGAAAAAGCTAGATGTGCTGTGCTAGCCTTGAGCAAAAGATGCTCAGGAACAGGCCCTGAGTTCAAGCCCCAGGACAAAAAAAAAAAAAAAAAAAACCACTAAAACTGGATCCAAACTAACTCTGGGACTTGCTGAGAATGTTTTATCCTTTTTTCTTTTCTTCTTTTTTTTCGGGGTCCAGTCGTGGGGCTGAACTCTGGGCCTGGGCGCTGTCCCCCAGCTCTTCAGCTCAAGGCTAGCGCTCTACCACTTGAGCCACAGCACCACTTCCGGCTTTTTTCTTTTTGCTTATGTGGTGCTGAGGAATCGAACCCAGGGCCTCAGGCATGCAAGGCAAGCGCTCTACCACTGAGCCACCTTCCCAGCCCTGAGAATGTTTTAGTCTTAATTAAATAAGAGTGAAAATACTAACCACAAAGAATGCAAGTCAGGTACCAGTGGTTTATGTCTAATCCTAGCAACTCAGGAGGCTGAGATCTGAGGATCATGGTTCAAAGCCAGAATGAGCAGAATTTTTTTTTTTTGGGGGGGGGGGGTGGTAGGGAGCGTTGATTGTGGGGCTTGAACTCAGGGCCTGGCGCTGTTCCAGCTCTTTCACTCAAGATTAGTGCTCTACCACTTTGAGCTACCACTCTAGTTCCGGTTTTCTAGTGGTTAATTGCAGGTAAGAGTCTCATGGACTTTCCTGTCCGGGCTGGCTTCGAACCATGATTCTCAGATCTCAGCCTCCCGAGTAGCTAGGGTTACAGGTGTGAGCCGCCCAGTACACGGTGTCTGTGTGACTCTTATCTCTAATTAACCACCAAAAGGCTACAAGTGGAGATGTGGCTCAAGTTGTAGAGCGATAGTCTTGGGCAAACAAGTTCAGGGACAACGCTCAGGCTTTGAGGTCAAGCTCCAGTGCTTGCACACACACACACACACACACACACACACGCAAAAGTTAGATTAAATCAACCTCAAACAAGAGGAAAGTAAAGTACCTTTACTAATTGGGGAGGGGGAAATATGTCAGTGAGCTAGGTGCCACAGGGAGGCCCACAGCAGTCCTTCACCCAGGCGGAGGCTGGAGGCCCAGAGCAGTCCTTCACCCAGGTGGAGGCTGGAGGCTGGTGGCCCAGAGCAGTCCTTCACCCAGGCGGAGGCTGGAGGCCCACAGCAGCCCTTCACCCAGGCGGAGACTGGAGGCTGGAGGCCCAGAGCAGTCCTTCACCCAGGTGGAGGCTGGAGGCCCAGTGCAGTCCTTCACCCAGGCGGAGGCTGGAGGCCCACAGCAGCCCTTCACCCAGGCGGAGGCTGGAGGCCCAGAGCAGTCCTTCACCCAGGCGGAGGCTGGAGGCCCACAGAAGTCCTTCACCCAAGCGGAGGCTGGAGGCCGCGAGCTGTCAGTTCTCCCCTCAGATTTGAGACTTAGTCTGACCTCACTAAATGTGCAGTATATAGATGAAGCTACAACACTTTATAAAAACAGGAACTGGGCCGGGTGCCAGCGGCTCACGCCTGTAATCCTAGCTACTCAGGAGGCTGAGATCTGAGGATCACAGTTCAAAGCCAGCCTAGGCAGGAAAGCCTGAGACTCTTATCTGCAACTAACTACCAGAAAATCAGAAATGACTCTGTGGCTCAAGGGGTAGAGAGCAAGTCTTGAGGTGAAGAGCGGAGGGACAGCACCCAGGCCCAGAGTTCAGGCCCCATGACCACAAAAAAGACAAAAAAAAAGTAGAAATGGGGCTGTGGCTCAATTGGTTGAGTATTACCTTTGAGTGGAATAATTAATTAGTTAATTAAAAGATCTCAGGGCCCTCCAGAATGGCACAAAAACAACAACAAAAACACACTTGACAGGGCCTGAAGGAGGGTGGGAGTCTATGGGGCAGCAGCAGGAGGGAGAGGTAGGAACACAGGGAGAGACGCACAGGGCGGCCGCAGGAGGGAGAGGTAGGAACACAGGGAGAGACGCACAGGGCGCTGACCTCCGTTTGTGATGGCCATGATCCCTTGGTGGAAGTCCTCGAAAGTGATCACACCAAGCCCACTTGGATCCAAATACTGGGTTAAGTCCTTTACCTGTAATGTACAATAAAAACATGTTACCAAAGTCTTCCCAAGGGGAAAAACACACACTACATGGGTGCTTTTTTTTTTTTTTTTTTTGGTGGGTTGTGGGGCCTTAACTCAGGGCCTGGGCACTGTCCATCAGCAATTCAGCTCAAGGCTAGCTCTACCACTTGAGCCACAGCACCACTTCCTGCTGATGCTGAGGACCTCATGCATGCAAGGCAAGCACTCTACCACTGAGCCACCTTCCCAGCCCTGCAAGGGCTTTTTTAATCTTTTGATTTCTTATTGTTTTTATGAAGGCGAGGTACAGGGTAAGTTACATTAAGTCAGGGAGTGTCACTCACGCTCCCAGTTTTCCCTCCCATTCTCACGCAAAGTTCATTTTCAACATAGTGCATTGATGCTTTTCACCTAAGGGCAGCAGATGGCTCACATAGTGCAAACTTTAAAAAAAATGTTGATTCTTCTGAGCAAGGAGGGAGAGGCAGCCGTAGAAACTCTAGCCAGGGGGAGGAGTGGAGGGAGGAAAGGGATAGTAGGAGAAAAACAAAGGAGGGGTAACAACACTCAACAAATGTGCTCATTGCCTTACTCATGTAACTGTAACCCCTCTGTACAGCATCTTTACAGTAAAATTAAATTTAAAAAGAAAAAGAAACTCCAGCCAAACGTTCTTGCCTAGAGAGTGAAGAGGAACCTGCCCCAGCAAGAAGCTGCCGTTGAGTCTAAGGACTTTGAGCCACAGGGAGCAGGAGCTGAGCTTCTAGAAATACCATCTCAGTGCCCTGAGCCATGCTAACCTCATACCCGTGTGTCTCCTCTCATCTTCTTTTAAAAAATTTGTTCATTGACGGGCTGGGAAGGTGGCTCAGTGGTAGAGCGCTTGCCTTGCGTGCCCTGGGTTCAATTCCTCAGCACCACATAAGCAGAAAAAGCCAGAAGTGGTGCTGTGGCTCAAGTGGTAGAGCGCTAGCCTTGAGCTGAAGAGCTGAGGGACAGCGCCCAGGCCCAGAGTTCAGGCCCCATGACTGGCAAAAAAAAAAAAAATTTGTTCATTGAGATTAAGTGATTACATAAATTTCACAATACTGTGGGATAGTGATACTTAGCTAAAGCCACAAACCCTCCCTCATCTTGTTGGCAAAGGGGTCAGGTTTTACTTGCCCTCTTCTGGACAGAGCCTCCGTGAGGATCTCTGGTGGCTTACTGCTACATCCTTTGTGCCAGCAGCTCAGCAGAAAGGCAGCAGAGTATAGTTAGTTTTTGTTTTGATTTTTGTTGGTCCTGGGGTTTGAACTCAGGGCCTGGGCACTGTCCTGTGCTTTTTTGCTCAAAGCTAGCACTCTACCACTTTGAACCACAGCGCGACTTCTCATTATCTGGTGGTTAATTGGAGATAAAAAAGTCTTTCCTACATGGGCTGGCTTTGAACCACAATCCTCAGATCTCAGCCTCCTGAGTAGCTAGGATTACAGGCATGAGATACTGGTGCCTTGTTGTACTTAGTTTTAATGTAGTTTAAGATAATATGTTGTCAACATATCAACACCAGTATACCAACTTGTACAACATGATTTTAGTGGCTATTAGTTTTTTTAATATGTGAGTTTTAGCATTTGTTGTGGTTTTAGTTTGGGTTGTTTTGCTTTTTGAGACTTGGTCTTACTATACTGATCCAGGCTGGTCTAGAACTAAGCTAATATTACAAGAAGGTACTAGTATACTTTGCACAACTCTTGTTTCATCTTAAACTGAAAGCTAGGACTTGAAAAAAATTCATAACATTAGATGGGATTTTTATTTATTTATTTTTTTTGGGTCCGGTCGTGGGGCCTGAACTCTGGGCCTGGGCACTGTCCCTCAGCTCTTCAGCTCAAGGCTAGCGCTCTACCACTTGAGCCACAGCGCCACTTCCGGCTTTTTTCTTTTTGCTTATGTGGTGCTGAGGAATCGAACCCAGGGCCTTGAGCATGCAAGGCAAGTGCTCTACCACTGAGCCACCTTCCCAGCCCAGATGGGATTTTTATTTTATCCTTTATCTGTCTGTACTGAGACTTGAACTCAGGGCCTCATGCTCAGCTTTTCTTTTTTTTGTCAGTCGTGGGGCTTGAACTCTGGGCTTGGGCGCTGTCCCTGAGCTCTTCAGCTCAAGGCTAGTGCTCTACCACTTGAGCTACAACACTTCCAGTTTTCTGGTGGTTTATTGGAGAGAAGAGTTTCTCGGACTTTGCTCTCGGGCTGGCTTTGAACTGTGATCCTCAGATCTCAGCCTCCTGAGTAGCTAGGATTACAGGCATGAGCCACCGGCACCCGGCTTTCCTGTGTTATTTTTTAAATGTGCATTTATTTTCCAAGTTTCTTGTTGTTTTATAGAAAAGGTTCAATAGAAAAGGTTCTTGACTGAGAAGGTGGCTTAGTGGTATGGTAGAGTGCTTGCCTAGCATGCATGAAGGCCTGGGTTTGATTCCTCAGTACTACATACACAGAAAAAGCCAGAAGTAGTGCTGTGTCTCAGTGGTAGAGTAGTACCCTTGAGCAAAAGAAGCTCAGGGACATTGCCCAGGCCCTGAGCTCAAGCCCCAGGACTGGCAAAAAGAAAAATAAAAGAGAAAAGATTGATTCAAGCTTTATACGGCTTGATTCTCCCACTAGCAAAACATACCTGACCTTCCTCAGTAAGCATCACAACCCTGGCTCCTTAAAGGTGGCTTAGAAATTAAGGTACTGCCGGGGGCTCACACCTGTAATTCTAGCCACTTAAGAGGCTGCGATCTGAGGACTGCAGTTTGAAGTCAGACCAGGCAGAAAAGTCAGCTGAGGGAAGAAAAGTCCCTGAGAGATTCTTTTTTTTAGGGGGGGGGTCTGGTCGTGGGGCCTGAACTCTGGGCCTGGGCGCTGTCCCTCAGCTCTTCAGCTCAAGGCTAGTGCTCTACCACTTGAGCCACAGCGCCACTTCTGGCTTTTTTCTTTTTGCTTATGTGGTGCTGAGGAATGGAACCCAGGGCTACATGCATGCAAGGCAAGCACTCTACCACTGAGCCACCTTCCCAGCCCCCCCCTCCCCGAGAGACTCTTATCTCCAATTAATCACTCAAAAACCAGAAGTGGGGCTGTGGTTCAAAGTGGCAGAGTGCTAGCCTTGAACAAAAGAGCTCAAGGTCAGTGCTTAGGCCCTGAGTTCAAGCCTGACAACGGACAAAAAAAAAAAAATTAAGGCACCAAGGTTGGCGCTGGTGTCTCACACCTTTAATCCTAGCTACTCAGGAGGCTGAGATATGAGGATTATGAATCAAAGCCAGCCTGGGCATAAAAATCCATAAGACTCTTACCTCCAATCAGCCACCAGAAAACCAGAAGTAGAGCTGTGGCCTCAAAGTGGTAGAGCACTATCCTTGAGTGAAACAGTTCAGGGACATCACCCAGGCCCTGAGTTCAAGCCATACACCCAACCACAAAAGAAAAAAAATTAGCAAAAAGCTGAGCTACAGGTGTGGCTCAAGTAGAAGACTCAAATGTGCAACCAAGCTAAGCAAAAGTTCAAGGTCCTTAGCTCAAACCCCAGTACTGGGTGGGAGAGGCAGAGGAAAGGCTTTTATAAACAAATGAAGAAAATACAAGGGATAAGAAATATATGGGTAGAGGAAGAAAACAAACACTTGCAGAGGTGACTTCTGAATCTCAGGGGAGTGACACCAAGAAGAAAAGACCATCACCATTCTCCTTTGTTTAGAGGCCACCCGATGGAGCAGCAGGTGGAAGCTGAGCTCCTACTCACACAGGCCACAAGCTTTCCCTGAAACCCAAACAGACACCTAATAGCTTCTATAGATTACATCTCTGCCTTGGGGAAACACTGTCACCAACACAGAAAAGCAGTCATCTCTCGCTGACTCTTTGTTTGCTTCTTCCCACTGGAGTAGCCCACAAAAAAATACACAGACATCTGAGTCGCATGGTTGCCCACTGTCTTCCTGTGGTCAATTTTCAACTCCTATGAAATAATCACAACCTTCACCAGAATAAGAGGTCTCAAAGTCAAAGTGTGTGCCGCCACTCATAATGCTGCTAACTCGGTGCTAAAGATGCTTTACAAGGAGTCGGGACAGAGATACACTGCGGCAGAACCCAGCCCAGAAACCTCGACTGGAGTACAATGCTCTACAAATGCTATTCCTAGAGCTGACATATTTGTTCACCACACTTGCTTACAGATCAGCAACGAAGACCTCAATTCCTAGCTTAAAAATCCCAGTCACTCTCTTAGTCTGCAGGCCAGGTCACCCAGAGCAGCAGCCCCAGGTGAAGAACAAGAGGCGTTGAGTCCAACAGGTCTGGAATCAACACAGCCTCTCCTGCCAACTATCTTCCTGGTCTTTTCAGAGCTGCCCCCAAACAAGCCCCCTGGTCACTGAGACTCATAAAAGAGGTGCGTCCAACTCCATTCCATGTTGAAGCACTTCCATTTGAGGAAGAATAAAAGTTTATTTCAGAGCCAAGTTCAGTCTTACAGCTGGATTTTGCTCTCTCGCCTGATCCCACCACCACCAGAGTTTCCTCATAATGGTCCACAGTACACCAGGCTCCTAAAGTCAAGTCGATGATGTCCTCACAGGACTCAGGTGAGAAGTTCTGATTGGCACTACTGAAACAGAAACTTAAAGGTTACACACAGCACTTCTCTTAACAAGCCTACAGGTGGTTGAAGGCCTCTAGGCTTGGCAACTGCTGGCTTAAAAGGCTACGCAGAAGCCCAGGCCTGGGAAGACTTTGTTGCACAAAGGAGCCAATGGCCTTGATTAAATTTCTAGTTCCAGCCAAGCGCCAGTGGCATAGGCCTTTAATCCTAGCTATTCAGGAGGCTGAGACTGAGGATTAAGGTTTAAGGCCAAAGACCTGGAAGGAAAGACCATAAGACTCTTATCTCCAATTAACCACCAAAAAAAGCCAGCAGTGTAGCTGTGGCTCAACTGGCAAAGTGCCAGCCTTGAGCAAAAAAGCTGAGAGAC